GGAAGGCGTGGTTTTCAGCAACTCATGCTTGTCGTAATAGGGGGTTAACGGGATCGGGTGGTCAGGCTCCCTCACCTGGTTGGTGCATGTCATCATATCCGAGTTGTGGCGATAGATGCTCTTGATGTCAACCACTGGATTGTTTTCACGAGAATCGATTAATTACAGACTGCTGTCATGTAGCAGTAGTATTGCTGTGTGCAGGGGAATTAAACAAAGCAGTCATTGGACAAGACATGTAAGGTATTGTTAGATCCAGCAATATCATACTTTCCAAAATACAACCTAACAGTATTATTGTAAAACTTGTCATCCAATCATGTAATTTGGACCACAGCAATAATCATCTGTGCATTCAGTGATAAAAAACATGTCATGATACATGTATCTAGATTATGGAGTCAAGTTCGTCCATGAAGATCCGGGTTTGAAGTGGTCTGTTGTACTGAAAGCCATTAGAAACGCCATTAGAAACGCATCATTCATTCTGATGATATAAGTTTTACTGACGTGAATGGTTCGAACCCAAACTGTTGTATGAATCAACTAACCATGTCCCTTGAAAAGCATGCAAAGTGAGAGCAGCATGCATGTAGGTGCGGTCACGTGACACATGATGATCACATAACCACGAATTGTCATGTAGAGCATGGACAGATGACCCAACTGATCCGAAATTCAAGCAGGGTTAAAGTTTGATAATTTTCCTGTAAGAATCACATGGTTTTTGGTCTTTAATTCCATTTCTGAATTTGTAACGATGCCTCGATTAACGGCTGTTCAGAGAGAACAAGCAGTGGGTTTGCTTAATGCTGGATTATCCACCCGTGCAGTGGCCGCACAGTTCAACTGTCACATGTCGACAATTGTTAGACTCTCCCAGCGTCTTCAACAAACAGGCAGCACACGTGACCGTCAACGTCCGGGACAACCACGCGTCACAACCCCATATCAAGACCACTACATCCAGGTCACCCATTTGAGGAACCGGTTCCAGCCAGCAGCAAGGACAGCTTCAGCAATCCGTGGGAGAAGGGGAAGAATCAGTCCTCAAACTGTGAGACGTCGTTTACGTGAGAGAGGGCTACGTGCACGTCGACCTCATGTTGGTCCAATTCTGACACGTAGACATCGTCAGGCACGTCTCGCTTGGTGTAGACATCATCGCAGATGGACACACAGAGAGTGGACAGGAGTCCTGTTTACCGACGAATCCAGATTCCACCTCAGTCACGCTGATGGACGTTTGCGTGTGTGGCGTAGACGCGGTGAGCGTTACGCCAATTGCTGTGTTTTGGAGGCTAATCGCTGGGGTGGAGGAAGTTTGATGATTTGGGGCGGGATCAGTGTGTTTGACAGGACCCCCTTGCATGTCTTTCGAGGCCGTGTTACCGCCCAAACGTACACGCAGGACGTTTTAAGGCCTATCGTTGTCCCTCACATGATGACCCATCGACGTCTGCACACTCTGCAACAAGATAACGCCAGACCCCATATCGCAAGGCATACCATGGACTTCTTGCGACAGAACAACATCAATGCCATGCAATGGCCATCGCTGTCTCCTGATTTGGCACCCATCGAGCATGTCTGGGATGAGATGGGGAGGAGACTTGCCAATATGGCGCCACCTCTCAACTTGCAGCAGCTGGAAGCGTCTCTCCGCAGGATATGGCAACAGATCCCTCAGGATTTCTTCAGGAGGGTCATCTTTTCTCTCAGGAGGAGGTGTGTGGCTGTTATTGATGCTGATGGTGGACACACGCGATACTGACGTTGTCTTCCTTCTTGTTGTTTACCTGTGTGAACTTTTGATTTGACCCCGTCTCTGTTTAACCCACGTTGCCTTGGTCAATAAATGCAGTGCAACTTCATAACGCATTTCATTCTCTTCTTCAATGGTCACTTATCACATCGTTCTCTAAAAAAATTCTTGGATGCCAAAACGCACCTAAGACATATGCTAATCTATCAGCGTTTCTAATGGCTTTCAGTATATAAACGGGATCGGGTGATCAGGCTCGCTGACTTGGTTGACACACGTCGATGCGCATGCTGTTGATCACTAGATTGTCTGTTCAAGACTCGATTATTTACAGACTGCCACCATATAGATGTTAATATTGCTGAGTGCGGCGTTAAACAACAAACATCTTATCTTACTCATCGTCTGCTGTCTGAGTTATGGCAGTGGAATGAGCTGCGCCGAGTGCGATTATGGTTTAGCTGGAATATTGACAAAAATACTATTTACCCCAAAACTACAGGTGTATTTTATGAATAATACTCTTGTAATTTCGGTGTATTTTTATGTCAGGTCAAAATGGTCAGTATCAGAGAGGTAAAAATAGTCCGTTAAGTCAGAGTGAAATTCATCAGATGTCCTAAATACAAAACAAAGGACACCCTCATTGTTATTTCCAAGCTCCAAGCATCCATACGTCGTTCTTTTCTTCTCCTGGGGAAAAGATAAGAGGCGCTTCCTTATAGAAGGACGGGAGATAACTCTAATCGAACACGTTATTTACACGTTTAGTTGAACATTTTTTACCATACAAAGATGACAGAGGTACATTGATATTATTGATCATGGGAACGTTGCATAAGATCAATCGACGGCCACAGTAGCCACTGGAAAAAGACTTATTTTCGAATTTATCTCGAGATCTACATTTTCATTGCTTTACGGTGACGTCATAGAACCGTGACGTCACAGGTCAAAGTTCAACACGTCGGTATTGTTCTTCGTGACCACAGGAATAAATGCCGCTCTCGTTTTTAAGACGCTTAATCACTATATTTCACTTCGCAGAGATCGGACACCTTCGCGGTGAGTACTAAAAGATACTTCTTTCTTTTGTATACCTCTCCAAGTTGTCTTAAATCCATAAAGTATAGGACCAACGGATTTATTCATTCTTGCGGCCAAACATGTTGAGATTCCATTCATTTTTTTTTTTTTTCAAGTAATGATTAATTTGTTTTAACCAGATATCTCAGACTGAGGAACAACAGAAAGGAAAATGAGGTGTTTTCTTCTTAATGAAATGTCTACAATTGCTACAATTTATATGTATATACAGTATTGCTAACTTAAGATGTCATTTTCAATAAGAAAATCGATATCTAAGGCTTTAGGCGCCACTACCATTTATATTTCCATATAGTTTTTTTGACTGTATAGTATCCCACACGGTTTTATTCAACAGATACGAAGAAAATACATTCTAAGATATTTTTATGCTGACTTATAGGTTTTTGCTCTCAATATGATGATGATGTATACATCGTATATGTATGTTTTGTGTATTTTTTCTGATTTGGCAACGTGCTATTAATGATCTGCTTTCAGATGTTCATGTGCCAAGAAGATATTTTGTAATTTACCGACATAAACTGTACATCTTTTAAAGTCTATAGCTTAACTAGATCCAGCATACAGTCAACATAATACAGATAAATTGTTCAATCGAAATTGTTGATGTTTGTTTTAACTAAAACTATTTGTGAAAACAGTGAGACATCAAGAAAACTCACAATGTCGTCTGCCATACCTGCTGAGAGACAGAAGGACAAAGATGCACTGGTGAATTCCAAGGACTATCAGTACATCATGGCAACATCTGAATCTGACATGGGTTCCTCCACATCGTCGTCCACAAATAGTCCTCGGAGACCTAAAGCCCCTGCCAAGAAGCCAGTCCGGGTAGATAACTCTATCAAAGCAAAGGACTACCTCTATATTATGGACACGTCAGCGTCAGACGTGTCGTCATCTTCATCTAGCAGGAGTCGTCGTGAATCTGTTGGCTCGTCTGCTTCGCTGTCTAGGAGCTGTCGAAGCAGTCCTCGTGAATCTTCCAACTGGTTCCGACAATGCTAGCACAGAGCCTCCAAAGAAGCGGCATCCAGGAAACTTGAAGAAGCCAGATGGCCGTAGCTCCACTTCACCCAAGTCAGCTTCTGACACGTCATCTCTATCCCTATATCCAAGGTCTCTCACCGCCTCCAACCATTCTGTGTGGTCCTCTGAGATCCTGAGCAGCGTCTCTTCTGACTCGGAGAGTGTATTCGATCCCTTCGTGGAGGACCACCTTCAGCCCAGACCTTCCCCCAGGGAGCCATCTGTAGATGCCCAATTCCCGGTGGCTGAGACAATCTCCGAGATCTCCCTTGCCAATAATAGTGAAGAGTCGTGGTTCACAGGATCCAGGGAGTCCAACAGTTTCCACCAGGAAGAACTTCATCACCGCAAATTGTTGCTGGATCAGGCCTGGGTGACAGGTGACAGGAAGCAGTCCATGTCTGACTGGGTGTCCTCTGTTCACGTCTGGGAGGAGGATGGTAAGTGTTTATATTATCTGACTAGCATTACATGTGGGTGAGTGCATGTCGGAGTGAGTTTGTCGTTAGAACATATTGTTGTTTTGTATCCAGTAACACACCAATATCTCCAAACCAGATGGGCTGTAGAAATTGTGTCAACTGTACAGCTGAAACATGCAGGAAATCACATGGTGAAGTGAGACAGGTGCTATATTTCACCTGTTGGGACATTGGATATAGCTACATCTCTTTTCAAAGGATCAATGCATCAAAATTAAAGTGATTGCTGTCTGAAGTATATTGACAAAATATAATGTGAAATGCTGGTGTCATATTTCTTGCTCAAACGTTGCTTAATACAGTGAAGGCCTGGTTACAGCTCTGGGGAACATTTTCAATATGACGCATCATGCAGCGAGAATGTTTTCTTATACTAATCCCTGATTTGACTTGTACCATGTGTCGCCGTGTCTTTGTTCTAGATGAACCACCAGCTTGCCGGAATCTTATAATACAGAGTGGTTATATGATGTGAAAAGGGTTTTGTCTCCTTTAATAGTACAAATATGATTTTCTTCTTCTGGTGTTACGTATTCTTTGAGGCAAATATGTTAATAAAGTGTGACATTTACTGTATGGTATCTATGAGTTCACCTTTTTATCTGTTTGAAAAGTTGCAAGCAACTTGGGAGTCGAATCTTTCTTGACCAGACTCAAGACCCGGTTCCAGGTGAGTAATACTGTGATGACCGTGCTGCGGTCACTCATTATTGGCCGGCTTCAAGACATGCAGTTTCTAATCCAACATTTCTTCAGACCCATAACAGTAAACAGTCCTGTGAAAAAAATCGGTTTGGGTGGAGAACATGAAACTTAAAGATTTCAGGGACCTTGGGGTAATCTTTCTAGTAAAGACCAAATGATTGGCCCGTATTTTGGTGAATTTCTTTGTTGTTTTCTTTACATTGATATCTGATTTTCTAATAGGGCACGTGGTGGCGCCTGACAAGAGGAAGGGAGACTCGGGTGCAGATTATCAAGAAATCCTGCTCTGGATCTGAAGTCGGCACCAGCGGTGGGTACAGGGGTTTTAGTCTTCTTTAGTTTTTACCAAGTTCAGAACACCTAGCAAGGCCCGATCTTGGACACAAAACCTGCCACCTGTGTACCGTGTTTTTCCTGTAGTGTCTTTCGTTTCCTGGGTATAATATTTTAAAATGTGTTGTTTTGACGCCTTGTTTCCTGACTGTAGGTGGGGACGAGGACAAGACACCACGCAGGGAGAAGCTGCAGAAGAGAGTGCAGAGATTCATCTCCAGGGTGTTCATTTGTGGAGGACTATCACAGGCCTAGACACCATTGGGGTCAGACCCAGACACAGTGCATGTGTCTCTTTCAGGCCCAGACACAGTGCATGTGTCTCTGTCAGGTTCAGACACAGTGCATGTGTCTCTGTCAGGCCAAGACACAGCGGAGGTGTCTCTGTCAGGCCCAGACACAGCGGAGGTGTCTCTCTCAGGCCCGGACACAGCGCAGGTGTCTCTTAAATGGTTATGCCTTGTCGCGTAGCTACATTCTGTTTATATTAAGTGCTCATGCTTTATCAGATAGCTACATCCTGTGTGCATTAAATGGTCATGCCTTACCGTGTAGCTATATTCTCTGTATAAGGATTGGTCATGCCTTATCGTGTAGCTACATCCTGTGTATATTAAATGGCCATGCCATATTGTGTAGCTATATTCTCTGTATAATGAATGGTCATGCCTTACCGTGCTCTGCTACATTATGTTTATATTAAATGGTCATGCCATATCATGTAGCTATCTCCTGTTAATATTAAATGGTCATGCCATATCATGTAGCTATCTCCTGTTAATATTAAATGGTCATGCCATATTGTGTAGCTACATCCTGTGAATATTAAATGGTCACGCTATATTGTGTAGCTACATCCTGTGTATATTAGACAGCAGTGCCTCAGCATTTATCTGCATGCTGTGTATTTTGAACAGGGGTGTCTTAGCATTTTTCATTCAGTTTATATTAACTGGCTGTGTATTGCCATGAAGCTACATCCGATATATTGTAAATATTAATCGTGAATTTTCACGCTCCGACATCCGATGTTTATGGAATGGTCATGCCGTTATAGAATGGTAGTGCAGAATCTGTCTTTTGTAAATAGGGCGATCTGATGTGGGGACGTCCCTCTTCTTGGAACGTAACCTGTGTGTTTTCAGCAGAGTTATCTGATGTGGGGCATGTTCAAACGGACTATTCTGATGGTGTAAATTACCTATGATATTCTAAATATACCACACATATTATTAACGTTTTTGTTTTACGGATGTTCGTGCCATGTGGCAACACGGGGTTCGTTACATAAAAGAGAAATACAACAGCTGAGCAACACTCAAAAGAGGGAAAAAACTATTACAAAAAAAAAAATTAAAAAATTGTTTAAATTCTATCGAATAAAACTGATCTGAAATTATCTGAATTATCTGTAATTATGGATAAAAAGAGTAACACAAAAGCATCAAAACAGAAATATAACGAACAAGGAAAGAACAGAAGAAAGTAAATTAAGAAATCAAATTGAATAAAAATGCTTGATAAATAAAGCCTTTGTTGCGAGGTAAGTTCCCAACTTAATTTGTTGTGAGAGAGCTTTGGACCCAATGTACATGTATTTCATTGTAAGGTACTTGTGAGAGAGTTGTCTACCTTAGCAGTTCGATTGCTGTGCCCTGTGTGTGATTTGTTGTGATAGAGCTATGGTCACTGGTTTTCCTAATAAAAATACTACTGAGAGGAGAGTATTATTTTCTTGGTTCTGTGATTTTCTGCTGTATGGTTATGGATTTACAATGACAATCAGTCAGGTATCTAATTCGCACTTGGCAAATAGATGCCACGCAAGTGAGGTCAGAACAGCCAGCTTCTGGAACTAGCTGCACATCACGAGGCTTCTCCTGGGATCAAGTTGACCTGTGTCAACAAGAAAGGGGGCTAACTCTGTATCTCACTTCCGTCCACTCTGGCCACTACGGATTTCGACATTGTATGAACGTTTCAATAATTTACTGCCACTGGCAAAAAGCAAACCTACAACAATCTGTGTTGGCTAATTAACCCTGCACTCCGCAATATCCCAACTGTCTGTAAATAATCATAACATCATAAGCAGACATGCGATTAGGGACCGTTCATAATTTATGTCTTGGGGGTGGGGATGATGATGATATTTATGGAGAAACATGTACAATGTGAGTGACCCCGCCCCCTAAAATTTATGTACAAAGCAAGTGACAACCCCACCCCACCCCCGCATGTCATGTACATAATCAATTACTCCCCCCCCTTCCCATATTTTTAAGCATAACTTTTAACTATGCTTTGGTACAAAATTGCTGACACCCCGTGCATGTGTACAAAATTGATGATCCACCCTACCTCCCCAGAATAAAATGGGTGACCCCTCTTAAATCATCACCATCATCATCTCTCTCTCTCTCTCTCTCTCTCTCTGTAAACAAAATTGATGAGACACCCCCCACCCCACCCTAGCTCCCCAGAACGCAATAGGTGACTCTAGCCATAGATTATGAACGGTCCCTTAGGTGCCCCACTCTGAGAGTATGGGTTCGAATCCCGGAGGGAACTCAACCCAGAAAAAAGTACAAGAATCACTACGTTACTGAGCAAGTGCAATTCCAAATATAACATGTTGCACGTCAGCGAGACGGACCACACGAACCCTAGCGATAGGCGTGGGTTGCTGTAAACCAGTTCTAACCCGGATCTTCACACGTCACAATAATCTCTTCTGTCACATGACATAAAGCAGTGTATTCCTTCCGTATGAAACTGCATGTATCTTTTAAACCACATTCAAAACTATGTATTAACTTGAAAACTGGCAAAAACGTACAAACGGTAACAAAAGACTATTTCGCCGAAATACTACCAACGAAATGAATATACACGTACCAAATGCATCACTATCAAGTAAATTATCTCATTTGTTTCATTCTTAGTCAGCGTCGAACATGGATTTATACTGTATGTATGATCTACAGCGGGATCTTGCGTGACTTTATTTAAAGCTAAACCATGGAAAATCACTGTTCCATTGCTGTCCAGGTTATGATAGCGGAAAGAATGAGTAAGTGAGTTTAGTTTTATGCCGCACTCAATAATATTCTAGCTATATGACGGCAGTCTGTATATAATCAAGCCTGGAACAGACAATCCAGTGATCAACAGCATGAGAATCGATCGACGCAATAGGGATACGATGACATGTGTCAAACAAGTCAGCGAGCCTGACCACCCAATCTCGTTAGTCGCCTAGACGAGTTGGGGTGCATACATGCCTATGAACTGAACATCCGGTTACATCCTAGCTGGGGTGGTAGGGAAGCCTCGTGTTCCTCAAGCATTAGACTGGGTTCGATGCCCGAGAGGGGTACACTGTGCGAAGCCCATTCCTCGTGTCCCCCGCCCACATATTGCGCCAATACTGATAAAAACGACGTAAATCCTTACTCACTCACTCACTATACCTTGGCTTATTTCTTTCGCTCAGTATACTAGTGCGGAAAGGGATGTCTGGTACACCGACCTCTGTTATTCAAACGACGCTGTCCTCAGTTATCTCGGTGACCGAGATGGGTCCTTTTGTTCTTTCGTTGTGTCAACACTATGCGATAATGATTCCTACACACATGCTGACGATGTATCGGAATAGAACCTTAATAGACACTATGCTGTTCAGAGTAGAGATGAGTGAGTTTTGTTTTACGCCGCTCTCAGCAATTTTTCAGCTATATGTCAGCGGTCTGCAAATATTGGAGTCTGGGCCAGACAATCCAGTGGTCAACAGCATGAGCATCGATCAACGCAACTGGGATACGATGGCAGCGAGCCTGACCACCCGATCCCGTTAGTCGCCTCTTACGACAAGTATGGGTTACTGAAGATCAATTCTAACCCGGATCTTCACGGGTCAGATTTCTTATGATTGTGGACAGGTTTCTTTCGTTTTTATCTATTAAATAGTCTCTGATATGGAAAGCTGATGTTAGAGAGCATTCTTTCTTGTCTTTATACAATGTAGTTCGGTGGGGTAGCCTAGTGGTGAAAGCGTTCGCTCGTCACGCCTAGGGCACGATTCGGGTTTGATTCCCTACATTGGTACAACGTGTGAAGCCCATTTCTGGTGTCCCCTGCCGTGCTATTGCAGGAATATTACTAAAAAGGGACGTAAAACCCATCTAACTCACACGTTGTATTTGTAAACATCAAAACGGCAAACTTTCTGACATCCAGCATACGATTTGTGTTTATTTCACTGTTGAATGGCTGATGTAGAAAATATTCAATACATTATGCATATTGCTCCACAATTTTCATCGCAAAATAAGAGTGTCACTGAGAAGCATAAACTGTTTCTACACCGAAGTGAAATAGTGATAATATTTGGAGTGAGTGAGTATGGTTTTAACAATATTCCAGCCATATCACTGTGGGGCACACCTGAAGTGGGCTTCACACATTGTACCCATGTGGGGAATCGAACCCGGGACTTTGGCGTGACGAGCGAACGCTTTAACCACTAGGCTACCCCAAGTGTTTAGCACAATTCAACTCACTCGAAACAAAGTAAAGAAAATACATTTTACATTAAAATATACACTTTAGTAAAATGTTAACATCTGTCCAGAAAACGTACACGTTTATGAAACATTCTTTCATTTTTTATATATTTTATTTTTGTTATATTGTTGGTTTGTTATTAATATAGTATGCGTTTATATTGCAGCATATGGCCAAAATAATTTAGAAGTACGTGACAATGATTTATGATCGTACTGCGATGGTTTCATAGACATTGTAGACAGCATAGGCTCCATAGACAACACGGTATACATGGAAAACTGTAAATGGTTTGATATGAATCAGTCATTTGAATTAATCAAAACAATTAGTTGCACATATTCAGTGGATTGCTTATCCCTCCCTTTTAGATGCACTAAATAATACAAGGAAATTGGCACAATGCGTAGATTAATATTTTCTTTATTACTGCAAGTACATATAGAAATTCATACATTTATGAATGTATTCGATCTATTTTGTTTGTATATTTTATAAAACCCAAACAATTCAGCCATGTCAAGGAAGACTGTTTCGTTCTGACTGGTCAAAATAAAGTGTTAAGTATGTACTGAATTCTTCTAAAATAAATCATAATAAAATTCATATTCATTCGTTGATATGCATTATAAGTATATCATAAATGTCGTTGTCTTATTGGATATTCGTGTATTTCACTCTTTATTCAAAATGTACTACAACTTGAAGCCATATACTTTGTGTCACACATTCGTGACCAATATGCCACGTGTCCGGATTGTGACTGACGATTAAAATCTTTAAAGTGTGATGTATTTTCCGAAACAGAAATGCGTCAACTGTTATTTCGGTCTAATGAGTGAGATGAATACGTAAAGAACGACAACTCTCGCGGAAGTTATTACAGTGTATGCGCATGCGCTTGCGCCATTTTCATAGGATGATCAGGAAAATAATGTTTTGTGATAGAATTTTTCGATCCAGATTCAAACAAGTTACGAGACGAAGTATTTAGTTACATTATATATGGAGGAAGAATATTATTTAATCAACTGTGCCAAGGTAGGTGAAATTTGCAAATGTGATTATTGTGTAAACGTCAACGAAGTGACGACAGGCGAGACACCGTTCCTCTGTGGGGCAAGTGCCTGCCAAATATTTGCAAACAAATTTCTCTGTGATTCAAGAAGTACGTAAATGGCATATCTGACAGTAGTCGTAATAGGTTCTGTACGTGTTGGTCTAACACGAATACATTAAAAAGATTCAATGCAGATGATAGGACCGATACGCAGCTTTTCTTATGTATGGAGTGACCTACATGATGGAAAGTAAACAGCTAATCTTACCCAATGTCCGATCAGACGGGAAATTATGACATCTTGTGTTTACAATATGTGGCATAAAAAGACACAGATCAGAAGCACTTTTCAGCCCCTACTTTTAAATAGTCACAGTAATGTCAAAAAGTTTTGACAGTTAACCTTTCTCAGATGAGAGATGACATATCTTGTCAAAGGGGAAGTCAACAGTTTTATGCATCTTAAGATTTAGGATCTATTTAAATTTTAAACAGCTATCCTAAGTTATGGGTGTTGTTCAAATTTAGATTGCTTGTCTGAAGTCATGAATGAATCTGAATGCCCCATGGATACAGTGTAATTTTATCTCATAACAATTTGACAACTGTTTAATGATAAGGTGATTTTGTGATTTAAACATCAGGATGAGGTTGTTGAAAATATTGACATATCTAATCATGTATATGCTAATCTATAATTTATAATTTTGAAAAAAAATTATGATGGGGAAATATCAAAACTTTCCTGTTCAAAACCTGTTGTAGGTTCACATTCAAGAAGTATGTGTCTGTATCAGTAAAGAAACTCTATTTTAGTTATTTCAGAAATAAAATGGCAGCAATACAAGTCATCTTTCATGAATTAAAAGCACGGTATCCCGAAGTACCTGATGAGGTTGTCAACTCAATAATGCAACAGGTGAGTAATACTACCTGCAAACTTTATGTGAGGTGATTGATAGTTTTACTTAATTAACACAGTGATTGACTGCTCTTGTTGATTGGCATGTTTACTGTGCTAATTTGCAATCTGTAGTGATGTAATGACCTGTCAGCTGTTTCATTATAACCCTAATGATCTTTGCTAACTGATAATAATTGCACCTGAAAATTAAAACAGATAATAATAATAATAATAATGGACTGTGATGTTGTACTGACTTTCTCCATGTTAGACTTCAAGTTATTTCTTATCTTGTTTACCTTTGTAGGCACATGTATTTATCAGCTTTAAGAAAATGTGTAATGGCAAACAATTAGTGACAACATTTGTGTTACCCAATGACAGTTGTTTTGCTTTGGTCAAGGTTAACCTAAACTTTAAAAAAATGTCGCCTAATGGGTTGAGAATTTGTTGGCTAGTCCGTTGAATATTAAAATGATTAGATTTAAATGTGGTCATATTTGTGTCAAGTATCACATTTTCATTATGTAAGCCAGAGAATTTGCTAGTAACTCATGGTAACTCAACTTACATTCTTAAGTAGGAATTTGGTGGTCTTGTGTTTTCAAGGCTATTGTAAGCATGATTTTGATACAATTGAATATTTAATGTAAGTGTAAGTATACAAGTAATTATTAATCATTAGTCTTGTTTTGTGTAGGCTAAAAAATAATTTTTTAGTTTCTGTCCTTTGACCTTTTTGTCCTCTCAACCCTGCATGTTTTTATCTAAATTATCTCTGACTCATGAATTGAAATACTGATTTCTTTCATCAGTAGGCTTGTCAGCATTATAGTCATGCTTGTTGGTTTTTCAAAAGCAGTAAGGGTCTGAGAAAGCTCTACAGGCTCTCCACATGAAGTGGGGTGGTTGGGTAGCCTAGTGGTTAAACATTTGCTTGTCACAAGGAAGACCCAGGTTTGATTCCCCACATGGGTACAATGTGTGAAGCCCATTCCTGGAGTCCCTGTTGTGATATTGCTGGAATGTTGCCAAAAGCAGCATAACACCTCACTCACTCACTTACTCAGTCAGTCTGCATGAAACTGACACACCATGAGTGAGTTGGGTTTTACACCGCTTTTAGCAATTTTCCAGTAATATCATGGCAGGGGACACCAAAAATGGGCTTCACACATTGTACCCATGTAGGTAATCGAACCGGGGAATTCAGCATGATGAGCGAACGCTTTAACCACTAGGCTACCCCACCGCCCAGACACACCATGATGTGACCTAAACATTGTTTGTGGTGGCATTAGAACCAGCTCACATTTTCACTTTAGTGCAGGCAAGGATGAAAATCAAATGAATTTTTCTGACTTTACCTACTTTGTTAGTTGTCAGCAATCTAGCATTAACCATGGTAACCAAGCATGTGTTTTCATCTGTTGTCATTTTATTTTCCCCTTGTATTTGTACCCATATTTTTTTCAGTCTGTATTATTTTGTTTTGTGTCTTCTTTTTTTTGTTACTAAATAATATCATAGATATAGTTTTTCTAGCACAGTAGTTTCTAGAAGTAGCTTGATTTGACATTGACACACTCTAATATTCTTCAGAAACATCTTCTTAGACTGCAGCTATGCATGAAGATATTTCTACACTCACAATTTGCATTTTCACACTCTCATGATCTTAAGATCCCTCCACCAGCTAATCAATGCCCTGATCCCTGCTGATGCTATCTGACAAATCCTTGCCATCATACAGCACACTTTCCTATCCTGAGTTTCTTTGATTGATTTGATTTTCTGTCTTTCTTATTGGATGATACTCACTGTCTGTATTATAAAACATGGTTAGAACTCTGATCAGTATTATTGCAGTTTGAGTTTCACTTGCTTGTCATCCTAATGAACTTTTGTTTATCTGCATATTGGATCAATTACTTTTGTTGTATACAGTCTATGTTTTCTTTGGGCTTTTTATTGTCTTATTAATATTTATGAAAGCTTTGTTATGTTAGGATTAAAAGATAGAAGATTGATGAAAATGGGTAAAAATATAGTGTTCCCTAATTGTCTTGTTTCAGTAGGAGTGTTCATAGTGTTAGAAACCACTGGTATAAGAAGAAGTTATTGATCAACAAGTGTGTACTCCAGGCGTTCGGGGCGATGGTTAAAGCATTCACTCATCACGCCAGGTTTGAGTCCCCACATGGGTACAATGTGTGAAGCCCATTTCTGGTGTCCCCTGTCATGATATTGCTGGAATATTGCTAAAAGCGGCGTAAAACTAAACTCACTCATTCACTCTAGTTGTTCAGGGTAATATGCATACTTGTGTCTTCGTGTACTGTAATGTCTTCCCAGTTATTTGTTGTGAAAACGATTCTTTCCTCAATGGATGCAGAGGCAAAGTTTGGTTGGTCCTTTTCTGCTTGGTAATGTTTTTTCTCTTGTCAAGTCTTGCACCAAACTGTAACCATTGTAATTTTGGTTGTTTTTTTTAATTGTTGATGCAGAAGATATATAGACTTGAATTAGCTAAGCCTACTAGACCAAAGTTAGGTTTGCCAGACTGGGGCATCAGTACCTGATAGCAAGAGTCGCAAACAATCAAAATATTTCTGTAAATCAAACAAATGTTGGTTAATAATAATTTTTCATTATCATTAGAAAATATAACGGTATTTAAAAACAACAACATATGTTGAATAACTAACGTCACCAGATATATTACACATTTTCTAACTAGTAACTAGTACTTTGAACTAGCTTTGAACAGGAACCATGGCTGGTTTTGAATGATGTAACATCCATGTAATCTAGAGATAGTTCACTAATTGGAAAGTCTGAGATATCTACTAAATATGAATTAGCAGTATTTGTAGAAAAACACTTATTCACAGGTTCGTTTGAGCATTTGTTTTTTGGGCGAGGGACCTGATTGTTTTTGCACTTTTGAGTTGTCTAAATCTACCCAGGGTATCATTTTGTGGTGATTCATGTTTACATTATATGCTGTCATTCATGGTATACTTTGGACATACATCATGCGCAATATCTTAGGACTGAGTCTGTGTTAAGACCATTTTCTCTTTCTTGCTGTCAGTTGTAGCATAAGGATCCTATGTTATTTTGCAGAATGGCAACGATAAGGAAAAGTGTCTGCAAGCCCTACAGTCATACAATGATTGTTATTTGTTTGGAAGTCGAGGACAGAATGACCAGGTTACTCGTAGACCGCAAGAAGTGCATATCACACATGAAGAGACTACAATCCCTGGACCCGGTCAACACAGATTCATTTCTCGGAATCGTGACACAGGGGCAGACATTCAAACAAGTATATCATGGCCAAGTGACCTTACGAACAGTGTCAATAAGGAGCATGGGAGACAGTCCCCTATTACTGCACCGGTATTGCCCCAAGACTTTGCCCCTTTCGTTCAGCAAAATGCCTCCCAATCCCCCCCCGACAAATCCCTAATATCAATTGTACAACTTATGGAGGCACGGACAGTTCAGGTACTGCCTCACCCCAGTCAACAGGGAGTCCCGCAGAAGGGCGTCGTGCTGTGAGAGTGTATCATTACCCTTCTCGGTCCCCAACAACGCCCCCTGTTGGGTCCAGTATCTCCCCCATCCCCAACCAACAACAGTATGTGTATAGGATTCAATTCGGTAAGGATAGTGGTGGGATGTGTACTGTTGCCCCCCAGTCCTCCTCTATGCAGAATCTGCAGTCTTTACCCACTGCTGTTAATCAACAAGGACAATATTCGCCTGAAGCAGGACCTCAATCCTATGCAGGCTCGACAGCACATGTATCTAATCAATACACACATTCTTCACAAGCTACAATCTTTATTAATAAGAACACTAATAATGGACAAATTAGCCCTGAAAGGCCAGGAAATAGGACTAACAATTACTCAGCCTTCTCACGTGATCCGAGATTGGGTGTGCAGTTGCCCATGAACGCCACAGGGCAAACGTCCCCAGTGCCAGGATATGGGGGAGTTCATCAGATTCCACCTGGATATAATAAACCGTTATCTGTGACAATTCGAGCGTCAGGACCAGAAGGGGCTGAAACAAAAGTGCGATATTTCCCATCAACACCGGAGCGCTCAGGGTCTGGATACCAGTTGTCTGGGGCTCACTCCCCGACCCGATACGGAGTAAGTTCTCATCCCTCCAACCACCTCCCAGGCCAGTATCAGACAGCTTCTCAGTCTCCTTTCCATGTACAGCAGGCGCCAAACCAAATATCTGTTGGCAACACAACTTCTTCAGCTTTCATAACCCCTACGCTACCACGCTTTCCTTCACCTAGTATAGCACAACCGGTCATTCCACTGCTGGGAGCTCAGGCTAGTAGTGAACTTGGTAACCTTGTCTTGCAGGAGACAGACACAGGGCATCATATGCCTAACTACCCAACTATGTCTCCTGCTTCTAGTCAAAGCAGCTTGAGTGATGAATCTTCTCGAAGTGATTACAACCATCGACAGAGGTCAGGGAGTCTGCAGGATGAGGTGGAATATACTCAGGGTAAGGAATGTTCCGGTCTGTACTACCCTTACTGTAATTACTAACAAAAACAAAAACTCCACCTATGTTAGCAAAAGGTGTGAGCATAACACTAAGCTTTACAAGACGGATGCCACAGAAAAGGTGTAACCAGTTGAAAAGTGTCCCCTCAGTGATAGACCTGCAGATCAGGATAATGAATATAAATCCAGAACCCTGTATCTGGAGTCTGTGTATGACCTACTATTCTTTGGGTAACAAAGAGCTCTAACAAAATATACTACTACCATGATTAGTTCTTCTTAATGTGATATATCCAGTGTTTCCGTTACCCGGTATATACCGGAATTTGACCTGTACAAAGTTAGAATGTCCGTAATTTTAAAGGCTGTCGGTCATCGTGTTCGGCAAATTTTAAAATCAATTTTCTAATTACCTCTGTCAATTTTATTTCTCCTTGAAAAAGATTATGTTTTCACAGTGACATCAAGGTATTGTCAAATAAAAAATAGCAGTCTTGGAAAACCCAAGGCCAAAAATAGTGGCATTGATGCATTGCGATACACTCTACATGTCTGATTAGTTGTTGGGGTGCAAGGTCTCTCGCACAATGAAAAGCATGATCACTTGACCGGTAAAATTTACAAATGACCGGTATTTGAAATGCTAGCCGGTCACAATGTCCAGCTGTGAAAAATGCCAGCGGAAACAGTGATGTGATATATCTCAGAATGCCCATATGCATTGAGAGGAATAATAGAACATTCATGGTAGCATTAGATATAAAGTTAAAGAATAGGAGATGTACAGGGGTTAAAACATAATAATAGTACATGAAAAATATGAGGCCCCGAACAAGACCTATATGAAAACTTGACTGTTAACCAGTAAAGCTCAGACTAGAATAGCGATAACCCAATTAGCAGAGAGAAATGACCTCACAAACATTTTCCAGAAAGTCAACGACTTCCCATTTTTCTAGCGAACTGCAGGAATATATTTGCCTACCACACATATTCGCAAGCCGTGGAGTGTTTAAATTTCAACTATTTGTGTTTATGAATTTAATATGAAATGGAACTCAGGTGAGATTCCTTAAGCAAGCATTTTGAATATCCTTCCAGACCTATTTTTTTTTCGTGAACATATGGCAACCATGATTTTAAAAATCAGCAATTAAAATGTTTCACTTTCAGAGTAGGCCTGCCTGTTGTATCGATCTTTGAATCACAATGCAATACATACACGCTACTTTGTGTTGTTTGTATGTTACATTTTCCATAGTTGTATGTGGTCCATCTGAAAAGGAAATTTTGCTGACCAATATGTGTTTAATTTCCATCACTGGTAAATTTAGGCTAGCTGTAAGAGTGTCATATGATGAGATTTAGCATTTAGTAATAGGCAGTATGGTAATTCAAGCCTTATTTATTGCAATACATATTAGTAATATTATAGTGTAATTGTGTAATTGATCATGTTGTAAGATGTGGGTAGATGTATCTTGTATTGTCGCTTAAGGTGTATAGATACAGATAATGCAAATGTTTGCGTTTTTCAGTTTTTCCTTACAAAGTCATTACACACATTACCCTGGCTTCTGAAACATAATTTGTATATCCTACTTACTGATGCGATATAGCTGATGTAGCTTGTGCTTGTTTGTGTTGTAAATGTCATGGTTATGCTGTCTTTGTATGTTTTCAGCATTGCTAGCACACCAAAATTCTCGGATGGGTCGATTGAAGAGTGATTATGAATCCGAGCTTCAAAAATTAGAGCAGTTACGAGCTCAAGTGTCTCAAATGGAGAAGAATATGTTGGAAAGGAGAAGTGCTCGAAGAAACAGTTTTCCAGGGGTATGACAACGCACTTGTATCAACACCAGTCAAAATGGTGCCATTGTGGTCAAAGGGAGATAATTCAAGGATTTGGATTACTTCCCCTGGTGTTCAAATGATCTGTAATGTTGCTAAGTTCTTCAATACTTTACATGAATTTAGTCTGTATGCTGTCCATTGGTTGATCTTTGGTCACCATGGTTACAATATATACATTTGTCGTAAATTTAATTACAATTAATGTTTGAAATCCCAAATACATGTCCCAATTCACAAAATTCCAGATGAGGCAATGCTAGTATTCCTATCCTTCTTTAAGTAAGCATGTTGTTGTGTCAGTAATTTCTGGAGACCTGTGAAGATCCATGTTAGAATTGATGCTGGTCGTAAGAGGCGATGAATGAGATCGGGTGGTCAGCCTTGCTGACTCGGTTGATACATGTCTTTGTATCCCAATTGCGTACATTGATGCTCATGCTGTTGATCACTGGATTGTCTGGTACAGACCGACGCCATTTAGCTGGAATATTGCTGAGTGCAGCATAAAACTAAACTCACTCGGTCACTTTGACTGTCTCTTTTCAGGATGTTCAGCATTTTGGTATTAAATGGGTTTGTTTTGTTTGTGATTAGGTTGACGATATAGGCAAGATGCGGCAAGCTAATAGAAAACTTCAGACAGATATTCAAGTGATGGTCAATGAAATAGACATGTATAGGAATGGCCAGAGTAAGTATCTACATGATTTACTCATCTTCTTTCTTAAACTTGTTGATATGAAAACAGAAGATGCTTGTAGAATACTTTATTTTGACTGGTTGCCACACTCTCAGCAAGCTGGGAGTTATGTAAACCATTGGAGGTTGATACTACACCCACGAAGATCCGGGTTAGGATTGATCTTCAGTAACCCATGCTTGTTGTAAGAGGCGTCTAACAGAATCGGGTGGTCAGGCTTGCAGACTTGGTTGACACATGTCATCACATCCCAATTGCATAGATCAATGATGTTGATCACTGGATTGTCTGGTCCAGACTCGATTATTTACAGATCGCTGCCATATACCTGGAATATTGCTGAGTGCGGCATAAAACTAATCTCACTCACTGATATTTGGTAAATAATTGCCGTGTTATTTTACTATACCAAGTAGAGTAACAGCTCATGTTATTTCTTTATATAGGTAACATGCATTTCACAAGTGAATGAAAAATAAGCAAAAAGGCACTTCAATGTATGATTAGGCATTTTGCATTTAATGAAATAATATTAAACTACCTCTGAATTTGGGAAACTTTGGACTTTAAAGACAATCACAGTTCTGAACAAAGTTATAGAATAATGTATAGCAGTAAATATATGAGTATTTGGAACATTCCGTCAGTATACTGAGTGCTTTATAATCTGGGTTAAAAAAAAGAAGAAAACAGCTGGGTGTGTCAATCTTTTAAGCCTAATTGCATGGTCTTATACAATGTATTATGTAAAATTGTTTTATTGAAAACTGTATTCCTCCAATAAGGTATTCTGTTTGTTTTAGATTTTGGCTGTTTCAACTTATATCTCTAAGAATGATTTTGGTCTCTTTCATACAGCTTCATTGAATGATATATTTTGTGTAAGTAATTGGCATTGAGAATACAAATGTATTGAATGGGATAGTACGTAAATGTGTTTTGTACCAAGTAATCAACAGAATTTCGGTATTCTGTTTCAGCGCCATTTAGTGTAATAGACCCTATCGGCCAACAGAATTTCTTCAACAACATACCCACTGGGCAACATGTCCATCGGAATTCCTTCAATGCTAACCGGCCCTCAGACCGGACCAGTGAGTGTAAGTAAAGCCAGTAACTGTTTGTTGCTATGGTTAAAACTGTGAGGAAGTAACTAGCAACTAGTATGTGCTAAAAGAGATGTACAGGTGGGCAAGAAGTTCCCAAACTACAGAACTGTGTCCCTTAGTCATGACAGGATCTGCTGATCACTTGTTTAAGTCCAACATCCAGGCTAGCTATTCTCGAAACATTCGTAGCCCTACGAACTTCTTTAAGCCCATTCTTAACACATTGGCTATGATCAAAGTTAAAAATTCTTAGGGCTACGAACATTTCAAGAATAAGGGCCCTGATTCTTACCTTTGGTTTCTTTGTAACTTCACCAAGTAGTTAAGTGTTGACTACCAGGACCATTTTGGGCTTTAGGCTTCAATACTACCCAATGATATTTACCTAAATACTGTTCATCAATGTTCAAAGTGTTCTACCCATCTCACTCACAGCATTGTCCTGGTAATAGTGATGCAAGTAGTGAATACATTAGTTTATATCATAGTATATCACTTAATATTAAAAATGGAACTAGTGTTAGTGTTATTTCACATAGCTTTAAGACTTCAAGGTATCTTACTGCTGTGACCATCTTAACTCTATTCAGAAACTTACTGTAGTTGTATTTCATGATAGCTTTGAGTAACAGACATTTAAGTAATTTTCAATAATTTAGTCGATGTACTTCAGTTCATAACTTGTGTCTTGTGATAGCATAAAGTAAGCTCATTTGTACAACATGTACAATGGGCCTTGATGTTCTGAGGGCGCTCATCATAATGCTAAGAGTTTGGTGGGGTAGCCTAGTGGTTAAAGAACCAATAAACTTTGTTTTTTTGTTACTCTTTTAACCATTACATATGAAAGATTTGTGGTTAGTCTTATGCGGAACACCAAATTTATTCTTTAAAACTTGTAGTTAATTAATACCGAGCGATTAAAAGTGGCCAAAAGGTCCCCTCTTCCCTCTCGCCCGCCAACGAAACCACAGACAGGTTACGTAACTCTGTCGCCAGAGCACTGCAGTGACGTCATATGAGGAACGATTTTCAGTTAGCTGTATAGAAAGTGTGTAGCACGCTCATCATTTTGATGATTTCCGACATCAACGACGGCGACATGCGAATCGTTGCTTTGTCGATCAATTGCTCCTAGAGGGTCGGGCGATGGTGTGACCATGCACAGATTTCCACAGGACCCGCGGTTAAGTGCTAAATGGGTTATGTTTGTGAGTCGCGAAGCGGCGTTGTGGAAGCCTGAAAAGCGATATCTTACTTGTGTTCAGATCGCTTCACGGAAGTTAAAGAATCAAAACTACTTACTAGTTGTAGTAAAATATGTATATGATTGATGACCATAAAGATTTTCCATGACACAACTTGTAACATAACGATTTCTTCCTCGGAGTGAGGTTGTGGTCGAGTAACAATAATATTGTAAGTAGTATTATATTGACACCCACCTAAGCTGCCAGGAGAGAAATTGTTATGTTATACGCTTATGTCATGCAAAATCCTATTGGCCATCAATAAAATACATATTTTACTACCAGTAGAAAAGTAGTTTTGATTTTGTAACTCAGTGAAAACAAACCTAAATAGCATTTATCGTCACACTGGCGGATGTTCCTGACAGGGCCGCCATTTTTGAAAATCGTAAAGTCTGTTAGAATTAATGAGATTATAGTTTGTTTTCATCAAGTTAGAAAATCAAAACTACTTTCTACTCATAGTTAAATATGTATTGGAATCATAACCAAGCCAGTTTTGCATGACACAACTTATAACATAACGATTTGTTCCACGGAAGCTAGGTGGGGTGAAGTCACAATACTGCGTGATAAATTTCTTGCTACATTCACATGGTTAATGTCCACTCACCAGTATGTAGATACTAGTCAATGTCGTCTTTATATTTGGTCTTATAATCCTAATTAGTTTATTATCATACTTGTATGCATTTTGAAACTAAATAAAAAGCAGACGATCTGCTGATACTTATAGTGAATTTATAACAGAACTGTAATATCTAGACATTTTATAGTTTGCCAATGTGAATCATAATTCGCACACACACACCCTAGTGTATGTTGTCTGTCTCATTACACTTCAATGCGAAAACAATGATTCTGTTGAATGCTACGACAAATGAATAAAAACAAAATGCAAATATTAAAATTAAAACAGATTAAAGTTATTGGAACAATATCAGGCCATTACCTTGTTCGAGGAATGTATCCATCAATATCCACAAAACTGTTGATGTGTCTTTTAACAGTTTAATATACGAAAAAGTGATAAATCTTTTCAGGTATTGGTGTATAGTCTCATTGGTCACCCAAGATAGCACACTTGGCAACTAATTGCATAATGTCCACCTTTCTTTAAAAACAGTAATTTAGTTAGCCAATAATGGGCAATCAATCATTGTATTGCCGGTTAATCCTTTGAAAGAAGGGCGTTGTTTTACGCGAACACCGACCACGACAGAGTGTATTCAGTATAGATTAGTAAATCTACATACATAAACACTACCTTTTGACAATTCCGGCTGTGTAAGATAAAAGTAATTAATCAATCAGCGTGTTATCGGTTAATCCTTTGATCGATGTTTATAATGTTGAATATTTACTCCAGACACAAGAAATGCCAAATGGGAACCTTTGTCGGGTAATCTAACTGTGTTACCCACTAATTATTCCTGTTATAAATTCATTAACTGACCATCAAGTGAATGATGACAAAAAACATGTGTAGGTTTATACCACCTAACACGGGTTACAACAAGGGAGTATTAATTGCTGTATTGCATGTGAAAACTTATGGGCCAACACTGTTTTGAGAATACAAACAGATTTTTACATGACATGATTAAATATCGAGGTAAAAAAATACAGAAATGGGATAAATTTTGATCAGTCATTATACAAATAGGGCCTAACGACACCAATCGATTTTGACAGGATCGTCTATGAAAACAAGTTGTAACTCGGAAACTAGGCAAAGCAGGAGACAAAATTAAATGACAGTAGATTGTGAGGACATATAGCTTTCATTTTCCACAACAATTGTCACGATTTCAGGTTTATACAAACCTGTAAACAAGATAATTTACCCCCTGAAATGTAGATGAATTCTGCATTGGCCCTCATATCTATTCCTCATATGACGTCACAGAGACGCGCCGCTCTGATTGGTTGAAATTTCGTTCGCGGGTGAGAATTGTGCACTGTTGTCAAAAAGGTCGATTTAAGTCAATTAAAGGTCGAAATGAGTAGTTTTAATGACGGGGTTTCATTTATAACGATGCCAGTTAGTGATTTATGTATTTGTACCCCCTAGGGTATATGTGATCTTTAAAGCGTTCACTCGTTACAACGAAGGCCCGGGTTTGATTCCCCACATGGATACAATGTGTGAAGCCCTTTTCTTGTGTACTCCGTGGTATTGCTGGAATATTGCTAAAAGCGGTGTAAAACTAAACTCACTCACTCACCTTGATGTTCTCAAAATATGTGTTGAATATTATACTGTGTGTTTCTCTACAGCTCCACCACCGGTTCCTCCCCGAGAGAGCCTCACTTCTGTTCCCCCTGCCCCTCCCACACAACCCCCTGCAGGGTCAGGGGACTCAGAGGAGGGGGAGCAGTGGAGTTGTTCGGCATGTAAGTTCCTGAACCACCCTGCCCTCAACAAGTGTGAGTGCTGTGAGATGCCCAGAGCAGCCACAGGTAATGTCCAGCCCTGCCATATACACTCGGCAGAGCTGTGCTACTGCCACCACTGATACGACACTGTACCAAATATAACCAACAGCATTGGAACATCACGCTAGGTGAAGGTCTCATTGTCTCAGCAAAACCTGGAACCAGCAGCACTGGGAAAGGCTTTGGCCTTCAGTTGTCTCTTGATCATATTTAGTCTGACCTTTTCGTGAGGGTAGGCACTCTTAATAGTGTGCTAAATCCTAAATAACTGAAAACCTGGCAGAATATGTTCTAATTGTTTCAGATAAACTAGAAACTGTAGTCAGAAGTGAGCTTTTGAATCATTGAATTTAGCCAATATTGTCTCCCATTTAGAAATAGACAAGTAGAGTTGCCTGGTAGTGTGGGTTGAATATATTCCAAGCAATCAGAAAATTTGGCTTATTAATGATCCCTGATGTTTGCGAAAATGTTTTCTCAAAAGTCATTTAAGTTTTAAGATTTGTTAAAGATTTTTTTGTTGTTGGTCATTTTCAAAAACCAACTAAAGGTGTGAAGGTGATTAAAGGTGTGAAGAGGACTTCTCTTTAGTGGTGGTCCGATTAATTGAAATAATCGAAGATTGGTCGCAGTGACTTAACGACCAAGAAATCGATCATGTTTTCTCATAATCAAACACAAACAATTTTGGAACACTTGTTTACATTGACAATATTTTTCACAAGGTTGGTTTTGTGTGTTACATTTCATAAGCACTACTAGCTCGTTCCAAGTCATGATTGAATTTATCTTTAAGTTCCTAACATATGTCATCCTGTAAAGATGTGAAATTTGCAAATGCATTGTGTGCAATTTGCAAAAAACAACAAAAAAGAACTATATGTATTTTCTTTATGTTTTGTGCATTAAGAAACACAATCAGGAAAATTTTATAAATGATGCTAAACAATTATTTTCGATGATTGATCGGTTGTAATGAACCAATCATCAATTATGAGATTTTAACCAGTTCCCAACACTACTTCTCTTACAGAGGAATGAGTTTGAAACAAAGCCTCGCCCATTGTTGTTGGTTCCAAGTTTAAGATGCTGTGACAATTTCAAATGTTTTGGGCTGCATTCATCAACTTAATCATTCATCATGTTGTTGCCGAAATATTGAAGTCTGATGATGTTCGGCCATCATGTAGCTGTCTTTATTCCAGTACCTAGTGATCATTGCTCACTTTCTCTGACCATTGTGCAATTATCAAGCTGATTGTGATCTGGCTCTTGTTGCCCGGGGAACGTTAGTACCTCGGTTGTAGATCCATTAGGGGTGAAATGGTATACCGTGGTGTTAGTAGAACCGCAGTATTTTGCCTTCGTTCGGTTTACCATAATACAATCCCAAAATTCTGTATTTTCAGTTTTCGTAGAGTTCTTCTATCTAGTCATTAAATGACAGCTTTGTTCATTCAAACTGACAAAGATTATGGTTATTTGTTTCCCATTGTATTAAACAATTTAAGGTCTCTTGTTGTCAATTTTCTGCATTATGATCATGTCTCATGTACCGAACCAAAAGCCTTGTACCGCAATATGTACCATACCGTGGTAAGAGTGTACCATTTCACCCCTAAGATCCATGTCATTCTGAATGACTTGTTTTGAGTGAATTGTTATCTTTATCATAACCATGGTCAGCCAGCACAGGCTTGGATATCCTAGATTCCTCATTTGTTGTAGAATATGGGGTGTGCATGACTGGCATGGACTGACGATGCAGTCATTTGTGGCAGTTTTATGCAATGCAACTCAATTTTATATTTGTGATGATGAGTATAAAGATCTGGTGACTTACATTTGGGCACAACTTAAAAAAGTTTGATCTGTATGGTATTACAGGGACATTCGGAGCCAAACTTTGGTGTTTATTTTTCAAAGTGATTATCAACTTTTCAAGGAAAAGTTGCTCAATTTGATTTTAACCCTCATTGATGCTTTGACGTGTATCTTTGTGCCAGAATCAAGTCATTGTAAATCAAACATACTTCCTCATTCACAGAAAAGGGAAATAATTTATCTGTGTGATAGAACATTGCAAAAATGATTTGATTGTTGGCAGACTGTAAATGAGGTTGTTGTTGTAATGGAGTTAAGACGTTAAGTAGATAAGCAATGTCATTGGGGGGCAATATGGTTCCTCTGATGGATTCCATGATGGACCTGGGATGGCGTTTCTGAGTTGCAACTTGACCAGGTGAAACTCTTTCAACAGTGACCCCCCCATGGCCTGTGGTGCTCCATGGGTTTGTCATTGAAAGAGTTGAATACTTTTTGGTAATGAAATTTTTGCATTTCGATGTCTTTCCTTATTTTGTTTAGTTAACATTGTGTTAACAAAGTTCATTGGTAGCTTCTTCAAATAAGGAAGCAGTTGTTTGATAAGACAGTCAAATACACCTGTGTGATGTATTTATCTAGTTTATTTAAGGAAACAATATCACATGATGAATTCATATGACCATCATCCTCGATTAACCTGTGGATTATATATTCATTCCATTTTGACAAAAATCTGGACCCATTTGTTGTTCTAACTTTTGTTTTGAGTTTTATTGTTTGTTAAATATAGCCATCCAATTAAATTACGGTCGTGAGCTAGAGAACCTTGTTTATAGCGTGATTTGAATTATATAAGGAAAAAACAATTGCACTCATGATCAAGAGAAACCCTTTGTTAGATTAGTGATAAAATAGATGGAGGTGGGGTCTGTGATCTTGTAGATGGAGCATCTGTCTGTAGCGTGGAAGTTCAGTGGTTCAATCCACAGGCTGTGTCAATGCTGGGATATTGCTAAAAGCAGTGTAAAACCATACTCACTCCCTCACTCTGGGCTTTAGGGGGATAACACAAGAAGGTTGGCTTGGAACCAGTACACTGTTTCTATAGTGTGTCCATGTTATACTGCAGTGCAATACCAGTGTGAAATTTTCATTTGATGTTGTTTCCTTCTAGGTAAGAAAATGGCATAATTTTTAGCAGATCATCACATTGTAAATTGCTTGCAAGAGTAGATTTCATATTTTGATTGAAGTCATAATTAATAATTCCATTGACTACAAGGGCCTTTGTGGGCGTATGCTATGGTGCTTGTTCCTAATCATCAGTTTCACAGTTCACAGAAGTTGAGGTGGTTAGTTAAATCTTTAATGTAATTGCTAAAGACCTTGGTCAGTTTTAATCAAATATGTACTGAATGTTAATATTTTGGATTCGGTTTGATCTTATTACACTAAAATCTTCCTTAGTCTCCGATGTTTTTGACTTCGATGGTTCGAGTCCACTATTGGCACAGGGACATGTACATTCAGAAATCAGGCTAGCTAAATCAGTATTGGGTGGACAGAGTAAGTTGGTAAGAGTAAGTGACCATAGTCTTGACCATAGTTTCTTAAGACCCAGACTCAGATTCAACCCCAGACACAACCCCAGACACAACCCCAACCACAACCCCAGACCCAACCCCAGACCCAACCCCAACCCAAACCACAGACTCAACCCCAACCCAAGACTCAACCTCAGACCCAGACCCAGACACAACCCCAACCCCAACCCCAGACCCAACCCCAACCCAAACCACAGACTCAACCCCAACCCCAGACTCAACCTCAGACCCAGACCCAGACCCAGACCCAGACTCAACCCCAACCCCAGACTCAACCTCAGACCATGACCCAACCCCAGCCCCCAAAGACCCAACCCCAGACCCAGACTCAACCCCAGACCCAACCCCAGACCCAACCACAACCCCAGACCCAAACCCAACCCCAAACCCAACTCCAGACCCAATCCCAACCCCAGACCCAACCCCAAACCCAACTCCAGACCCAACCCCAGACCCAGACCCAGATCCAGATCCAGATCCAGATCCAGATCCAACCCCAGACCCAACCCCAGACCCAGATCCAGATCCCAACCCCAGATCCAGATCCAACCCCAGACCCCAGACCCAGACCCAGATTCAGATCCCAACCCCAAACCCAACCCCAACCCCAACTCCAGACCCAACCCCAGACCCAACTCCAGACCCAACCCCAACCCCAGACCCCAACCCCAGATCCAGACCCAACCCCAGACCCCAGACCCAACCCCAACCCCAGATCCAACCCCAACCCCAACCCCAACCCCAACCCCAGACCCAGACCCTACCCCAACCCCAGACCCAGACCCTACCCCAAACCCAGACCCAGACCCAACCCCAGACCCAGAACCAGACCCAACCCAAGACCCAGAACCAGCCCCAGCCCCTAAGACACGGAGTGTATTATGTGTGTTATCGGTTAAGTAGTGCCTGGTTCAGATTTGCCTTAGGCTCAAAGAAAGGATTTCTGGTAGGACAAGATTGCAATTTTAATCGAACAGTAAGACATCCTAGCACCCAACATCAATATGGTTTACTGACTCCCAAGGAGGTAGGAATGATTTGAAATTCAGATGTACAATGATCCATAAAAGTTAAGGTATCATGCTATTGTTAATCATTGTTATTTTTTGTTTAATGTCATGATTAGTGATATTTAAGCTCTACAAATGTGGTTTGTAAATATCGTGTCTGGAAAAAAAGATGTAGTGATTGAAATCAAGGGCATCTGGATAAAATGATATGCTCTCAACCAATTGCTATGTTACTTGAGACATTTATTTTTACCTGAAGTTCTCGTGGGTAAAAAGTATATATCATGGACTTCTTACAAATTTGGGGACAAAAGTTGAATTTTACCGATGTGACAGTTCACTGTTTAATTTACTTTTGGCTGTTTTTCCAGAAATTTTATTGTATTGCTGTGTTTAGCTGAAATATTGTTGTTATGATCCAAAGGCTTCGGAAAATAATTTATGCACATGAGAAATAAAGAATTTAACTCTCTCCCTCCACAATTTCAGCAGTGCTGCTGAGCTTAAATTGGCATATTTTTCTCAGACTAGTTTTCACAGTGCCAAAGAATGTACTGAGTGCTAAGTCTTTCTGTAAATTCTGCTTCTTCTCTACATTGAACATCTTCTCTAACAAAAACAGGTAATTTCTGAGATCAGTTGTTTTCATGTAGATTTTCATTGACTATCGACACAAAGGCCCTGATCCCCAGTGACATCTTAGTGTACAATGATTGTAACTACAAAATGGCAGTAGTGCCACCACAAAGATAACTTGAGGGAACAGTGACCTATAGACAGACCGATTCCACAAAGTGATCTTAATGCTAAGGTGACAGTAACTCCCATACTGGCCTATGATGATCATTTCATTGAGTATTTCATGAACAGGCATACTTAATGTCATTGTTAAGAAGGAGCTTTTGAATGTGCGCCATTAGGTATATTGTAGGAATCTGTGAAAGTTGTCTGTGTGATTAGCAGATGATGAATAAGGATGAAACGATATGCTTGGTTGTGATATGATACGTATCAACACGTTCGGAATTCAAAGAGTCCATCATATCATTTTATTAATTTTCATGAAGTCCATTGATATCAGTGCCATACTTGAGAACTGGAAATTCTCCCTCTATGGTGGATGAAGTGTGTATTTGTGTCACAGCTTATGAACATACACTTAATCCACTTTTCCAATGTGTATGTATTGCGTATCATATTGCAGACCAAGTTGTCTCATTGCATAGCTGTATTGATTAGCCATTATGGACATAGTAATAATGTTTAACATTTTGAAGTCGTATGTTTAAAGACTTCTGATCCCTTTGACCTTATGTCATAATATGTTGAAAACAAGGACATTGAGATGTTTTATCACGAACTGGAGCTGGGCCCCGTTTCACAAAGCTGTCACAACTGTTGTAAGTCTGTGTTACATTATAGGAAGTACGACAGTCGTAGCGCTATGATAGCTTTGTGAAACAGGGCCCTGTATTGTGTTTCAGTTCACTGACACTAAGGCTGTGCAATCAAAACCAAATTGAGACATGATTCAAGTCTTCAGTGATGATGTATATTTGTTATTTTACACTAATTATCCAGGCAAATGATGATGTGATTGTAGTTACCATGGGTACTTATGAATGATTTCTTTGGAAGAACAGACTGCTGCTTTCTGTAGGGCATACACAACTGACTTCTACCAAGGATACTAACCTTTTTTGCAGAGGATTTGAAGTATAATTTCATATGTATTTATTGCCGTTTTGTGAATTTGTACATTGGGTCAAATTTGCAATCTTGGTGTTTGCGACAGCATGAAAACCTCTAAGACTATTAGTCTATGTTTACATCGAATTTCAATTAGTAAGAGAACTTGAATGAAATCAGGAAATCTAAATTTCCTTCCTGAAAAATAACATTTTTGAGGAAATTCGGAAGCACACTTTATCATGTCCATCTGAATGTAGTTAGTTAGATGTGTCCTTCCTGACTGGGATATGAATGAAATGCTGTTCAATTCAGCTCAAAATGAAACTGATAAAACTTGTTACTGTCCAAGAACTTCCAGAAGAGCTTTCACGCACCGTTTTGATTGTCCTGTTTGTCATATTTCCATGCTAATATGATACATGGCCTCGACCTATTTGCCACCATTGCCCGATTTAAATGAATTGAATCAAATTAATGTAATACTTTTGTGATTTAAACAAGAACCTTTATCACCAGCAATCGTCTCGACTTTTGCATGACGTCACAAATACAACTAGAACGTCTTGTAGCATAGGGCTTTTCTCCTATGTCTTTGAATGGAGAAAACTTTTATCCCACAAAAAAACATAATTTTAATGGTGTTTTAATTCCTTTTAATACGTCACAGGCTTCCTCAAATGAAACTTAGGTTAGAATGAAGATCTATGCTCTGTTTTGTTCAGACATGGCCTTGGGTGTGATTTCAAGGTTGTGATGGGAAGTGGTTTAGTCTAGTGGTTTAAGTGTTTCCTCGTCATGCCAAAGACCCAGGTTCGATTTCCCTCATTGATGTGGTGTTTGAAGCCGAATTTTGGTGTACCTAGCTGTGATATTGCTGAAGTAAAGTGGCCCAAAACCTGTTCATTCGAGGCTGTGAGCTTTTTTCATCTTCCTGATTAGAAAATGGCGTCAGAGTAGTGAATGGTTCTAGGGTATTTTTCATAATAGAATGGAAATATTTTACCCCAGATAAATAAGGATGTTTCATGCAATGTGGTATGGAAGACTTCAATTTTTGAACAGTGTCCATTTTTGCATTAGGATGCAATATTTTCGTGGCATGGTTTTGGAGGCTTTCATGAAGTCTAGTCTTTGCGTAGAACGCAGAGTAAACACAGATTATAAAGACTTCAATCCTGCTCTGTTTGTTCTGCAGGAATAGGTTCTGTAAATACTTCTACTGTATATGCTGTATTTTTGACATTGTTTCAACAAATCCATTTTGAATATTTACAGATGATTGTAACTGACAAATTGTTAATATGTACAAGGATTTGCTATGGATTGACTAAAATTTGGTTTTAAAGTTTTCAATAAAACCTTTAAAGTGACTGAAGTTGCCTTATTTTTATAAAGAGATGCCTGGCACTGTGTGACTGTTTGTGTTTTTGTGCCACACCAGTTTTTCTTTTACAAGTTTTAAGTTATAAGCAACTGTTGTGTTAAACAATACTCACAATATTTTGAGGTGGGTGACAAGCAAGGTTGAGCTGATTCTGGGGTTTCAGTATCAGCTCACTTCCCATTGATCCTTGATCTGTCCACACCTTTAACACAATTGTGGTTTGTACCAGGGTGGTAAATGTCACGACCTGCATCACTTTGGACATTCCTTCCATGAGGGGTGAAACGGTACACTCTTACAATGGTACGGTACATATTGTGGTTACAAGGCCTTCGGTTTGGTCCATTTTCGGTTTGGTACTTGAGAACATACTTCCAGGAAAATAGCAAAGAAATGCATAGATTTTGGCCAAATAATTAGATTTCTAGACATTTTAGAAAAGGTTTAAAAAGGGTATGAAAACTGAAAATACCGAATTTTTTGATTGCATTATGGTATACTGCATCAAAGGCAAACTACCACAGTTGTACTAATACCGCGGTATACCGTTTCACCCCTACCTTCCACTCCTCAAAGCGGAGTCGGACCTGGCTCACTCGTAGATTTGCGTTTTGTTTGTTGTTACACTGCATGGTGATTATTTGCATGGTCTTTGTGTTGTTGGATTTAAGAGAGCACCGAACAATGTTGAAATTGTTGGAACTGAAAATTGGAAAGATTTGCTAGAATGATGAATAGTTTCAGAAGCTTGTGGTCAAATGTGTTTCAAATTTTTATTGTATGATCAGTTCATTATGATCATGTTGGCAACCCTCTCCTACCACAATAAATAAATCTAACTTTTGTCACAAATCTGAAGTTGTATTTTTAAAAAATGATTTTTGATCTATCAAGATGAAATTCTATTGAAACACAGGCCTGTATGTTCAAAACTGCAACAAAGATGTGAATGAACAAAGCATCAAATTTCTGTACAAATCAACGTCTGACAATTTTTGTTCTGTGCACCGTCATTCTTGAACGTTTTTGCTTTGGTTCCCCTATTATGTTTTTTGTTTTTTTTATTGTCTAGGATCATGATGTGGAATGTTATTTGCCTGTGGCCTGTCTCCCTCTGCCTGTGTCTGCTGTAGAGAGGACTTCTGCCTGCCCGTCTGCTCGCTGTCTTTCCCATCATACAGTGTACGTCCTGGTTACGGCCCTTGCCTGCATGGAATCATCTGCTCAACTACAGTTTCCTCTCAGCACAGGGTTACCTTACGCTTGTATTCTGCTCACACTACATCATTGACAAACCACTGTTTAACATTGTCATTCTGGTGATTAGTCATAGACATTGGAAGGTCAAGGACAAATCTTTGTAAATCAAATCAAACATTCTCTGTTGTCAGCTACCAGTTGTGAACAAATACACTGCGTGGCAGTATAGTATTTTCTGTTCAGTGGTTTTGGTGGTTTGCTGACTTTGAGTGGAGGTTATCCATCTAAATGTACTTTTCAATTTGATTTGCCTTTCTGAACAGATATGTCTCCAACATAGCTTGCAAACTCATTAAGATAGCTTACTCTGTTTGAAACATCTCTCTTTCAAAATCTAACTCTCCCTAGAACGTTGAGTCAGCTAAACTATTTTATCTAGTAATCAGGCTAGCTAAACTCGAAACGTTTGTAGCTCTACGAACTTCTTAAGCCCATTCTTAACACAATGGCTACAATATAAGTTAAGAATTCTTGGGGCTACGAACGTTTCGAGAATAAAGGCCCAGCTTCTTAATTCTCAGGGGCAGTGGAGTAGCCTTGTGGTTGAAGCGTTCGCTTGTCTCGCCAAAGACTCGACTTCGTTTTCCCACTTGGGCACAATGTGTGATGCCCATTTCCGATGTCCCCCACCGTGATATTGCTGGAATATTGCTAAAAGCGGCTAAAAACTAAACTCACTCACTTACTCTTAAATCTCAGCAGCAACTTGGAGCAGCATATGTGACCTATATCTCATTAACATACATACACGGTCAGTTCCAAATGGAAATAATAAAAGCTGTGTTATAGTGTGGATATTATTACCTAAATATCAATGCAACAGAGAAAGTCAAAGTGGTTAATGGTAGCATAATAGCAAGTCATGTTGAACTTGTCAGCTGTCACCTGTTAATCTTCTATTTCTGATGCAGAGTCCACAAGATGTCGTGATGAGGCAGAAACTTGTTTTTTGCACAATCATAATCTTTGTTACTTTGATTAATGTCCAAATGTTGGTGCCATTCCATGGCACTCTCCACCTTGTTTTCACTTTAACAAAGTCTAATATTGTTTTGTTCATATTCTGTTACCATGGTTACTAAAGCTTATTTTTTATTCTTATTTGCCAAATAAGTTATTCACCACATACTAGAATAGCTTGTATCAGTGGTAGGGACCTCAATCGCCATAATCCTTCATCACCAGTTACTCACGACACAGTGCACAAATCAGGAAGCGGTCACTGGTTGAAGGTTGATTACTGATTACTGGTAAATCTTGTGGAACCAATTGCTGGGACACTTGACAGAACACCAATACCACCTACTGGTAAACATTACAGAACACCTACATCAATTACTGTTACACTTTATGGTACACTGGTGCCAAATACTGGGACACTTTACAAAACACCTGTACCGATTACTGGTACTTATTACTCATGATTACATTTTAATATTACTGATTAGGTTACACATTACTGATTGCCATTTTACCAAATACCAATACTCGTTACTTTCACAAGTTACAAAGCGAATGATACCTGGTAGTATTGAACAGTACACGTTACTGATTACTATTCCTCATTACTGGGGGCGGTGGGGTGGCCTGATGGTTCAAGCGTCCGCTTGTCATGCTGAAGACCCGGGTTTATTTCCCATATGGGTACAATGTGTGGAGCCCATTTCTGGTGTCCCCCACCGTGATAATTGCTTTACACATTTCTGATTCCTGGAATGCTTCAACATATATTTTTTTGAACATTACTGTTAAGAGCCATCACCATCCATTACTGATTATTGGTATGCTTTACCATGTACACACATTACTGTTTAGAGTCATCCATTACTGATTACTAGTATGCTTTACCAACTAGTGGTACATATTACTGATAACCATTACACATTACTGATGGGAATTATCTCTGACCAGCAGGATTAACCACCCACACAATTTAGCAAGGTATCTTATTGGGATTACTTGAGGCACCAATGCTACACAGACAGCTACAAAAAGTGTACAATGAACTTGTGATGTATACTTTGACACAAAATTTAACATAATTTAGCAACATCAACATAGGAATTTGTATTTCCATGCCATAATATCTTTTAATATGTCTATACAAAAAATGACAAACTAGGGGTAGTTTCAAGATTAAGGAACGCATCAACTGGTTCAGAATGATTGTTTTCCGTAAAGTCCCATGTGTGGGTGAGTCCTGCGCTCTGTCGCTATGTGTAGCTAACAAGATGATCTCACCTTACTGTGGTTAGATCTCATAGGTGAAGCTGGTCACATACTGAATTGCCTTCAACTAACACATTAAGTCCGCCCCAGCAACTAAGCGAACACATGGTGGGGATATGTCAAAAGAAACAATATTGAAACACTGTCTGGAAGCAGTTTTGGTTCCTTGATATAAAAAGGACTCTATATAATATTTGTTGGTGATGAGACTGGGATATTTGTTAGAAAGTTATTTCAGGCACTAGTATAACATTTACAATTTTTTCCTCATGAGAAGCATGTTCGAGCAACAAAATATTTTGGGGTAAAACCTGAAAACAAATGATTGTTTTATAGTTTGTTTTGGAACAAATTACTTTTCTTAATACAAATCCAAGCCCTCATCTTCCCGGTGCCCCTAGTTATGTACACAATTGGGGAAAGTTTGGAAAATAAATATAGGACTCCAGTGGTTTTATGATGATCAACAAACACCTATGTCATTCTGACTCTCATGTCACAGGTTGTCATATTTGCAGCACATCACATGCTGTTATGGGTTAAATGTTTCACCAGGTGTATGCACTGTGTAATCTGTCCATCTTGTTAATACGATATCACCATGTAAAAAGATTCCTTGCTTTTGCAGTTACCTCACCAAGTGACTGACATGATCAAAACCTTTCTCTACAACATCAGGATCAAACCTCATTAGAATGCCAAACCTCTTTATAATGCCAAACTCATTTCACAGTGTAGAAGTGAAACAGATTTCTTAATGGTTTCTACCTTTTCATTTATTACACCAGTCTGGCTTTACTTCCATACGATGTACCCGTGACGAACCGGGTTAGAAATGATCCTCAGCAAACCATGCTTGTCGTAAAAGACGACTAACGGAATCAGGTGGTCAGGCTCGCTGACTTCTTTGACACTTGTCATCGTATTCCAATAGCGTAGATTGATGCTGATGCTGTTGATCACTGTATTATCTGGTCCAGACTCGATTATTTACAGACCGCCACCATATAGCTGGAATATTGCTGAATGCGGAGTAAGAGGACTCCACGGTGGCCATAATGTCTTGCACAATCTTGTGAATAATGCATTCTGGGAATTTGAGGAGTAGTCTTTGGTTTTAGTCTTCACTACTGCAGCTAATCTACCAATCTCTATACTTTAATTGATGTTAGAACCAAAGGGGCATTTAAAGGCATATATATTCTATGCATAGGGTTATGGAAGGGTGAAACCATTTGCAGTAATTCTAACTCAACATTGTAACTTTTTCTAGCTGATTGTTTTCATTGTGCCATTGTTTTCATTATTGTTGGCGTAACAAGGCGAAATGAAGTTTTCATAACTAATTGATGTGACATAATCCATTGTAAATGACATCACTGACAGTTTTATGTGAATATGGAAAGTAACCTTTTTGCACCTCAGACTGCATTTATTGTCATCATGAAATGATGTCAAAAGTTCTTTGGCAAGGTTCAAGAACTTAATTCACTCGAGTCCCTAATTTCCTGTAGCTTATTCTCCAAATGTTCTCTAAAGCTGTATTATTACTGTGAACCAGACCTTACAGAGACTGTTCTTCACTGAATATCTACAAGGTTAACTTCCCTCTTGATCAGTTGAACCTGTATTTACGTGTTACATCCATGAGAGGGTAACTGCCAGTTGTCCTGTGGCTGCCATTAGGAACCCATAGCGGGGTGTCGGCTAATCTACGAGACTGACTTATCTACGATTATGTGCGCAGGAGGGACTTTACTAAAAATGCTGTGATATTCTGATAAATGGATGCACGATTAAATTCCTGAGGAATGCATTCATTAGAATTTTGTATGGGGATAGTTTGGGGAGGTGCACTGATCATGTAGATAATGGTATATTTTCAAGGATGTGAGTACACTTTGATTGTTTTAACCTTTAACTTGTTCAGGAAGTATGTTCATAATAAACCTTTTAGTTGTGTGATGACAATGTTCATTCTCATGTTCAGTTGTAAGTCTCATCGTAATAGGTAACAATTATACAGTGTTCGAAATTAACACAAAGTTCAAGAACCTTATTTTCAATGTTGTTATATTGATGGGGAGTTATATAGATTTAAATACTGTAGGAGCTGACCTCAAGAACAGTAGAATCCCCATGGTTTCAAACAGTTATATATGGCATGTTCTACAGGTGTCGGCAGAAAGTGTTCATTACCAGGGTTTAGTTCAGCACTGATGCACCATAGGAAGACTCCCACCATATTGGATGCTTAGTGATGGGGGACTATCATTAGGTCTGCTGTGGCTCAACCTGTACATTTCCTATGTAACATTTGACTTCTTGGAGTGTCTTTGTTAACCTTTATGTGCTATACTGGCTGTCTTGGAGTGCTAGGGTTGAAAACCACCATTTATGTTGGATTGAATTTTTTTGGTTCATGTTATTCAGTCTTCAGTGGAAATGAATGATCAGCAGTATCTCTGAGGTATGTCATCGACATGTCTTGAGATGAAGAACATTTAGATTTGTGGTGAGCTTGTTATGTTTGAACCGAAATTGTACTTAATATGATTATCTTAGTTTGAATAACAGACTCATATGCAGGTGTCTGGTAGGACCAAAAGTGGTTTAGATAACTGACAAGGATGGGACAGGTATCTGATAGGACCATTTTGCTCAGAAATAGAGGTCATTTGATTTTATAGTTGACCTGCCTGTGGTCTGTGATCCCTATCAAGTACCAATTTCCTTGTAAGAAACTTGGTCCTATTCCACTTTCTTCAGCAGAGACTTGTGAGTTCCACCAATTATAGCGCCATCTACAAGTCCCTGTTCAAGAAAGCCATCTCAGCACTAAACTTGCCATAAGTCTATGTTACAGCATGGGAGTCATGATTGGGCTAAGATTACCCTAAGATTGTTGGATTTAAGGTTCATTGCTGAAAACTGAATTGAATCCCATTTGTAAATTATGCATCAGAAATTCATCCCAACCTATTATGGACGACCTGTGCACTTCCGAGGCAGTCATCACCCAGTTAATACCAGATTAAGTTCAACTTGGAGGTCAGTTGAGGTCACTTCACATATTGTGATAATTGTACAGTACATTGTGTATATTGTGTGTATGTGGCTTGTACAGAGAACGACAAATTGCTAGCTGTGAGATGATTTTCTGTGATTCCCTGTATATAACCACTAGCTATTTACTGACATGCCTTAGATTGACACCATTGGTGCTCGAACCATTACCTTGGAGATACCAGATTTTATTAGGTAATGAGAACCCCTTGAGCCAATATGCCTTGTATGCAGGACGCTGTGCTTGGGTTACCATGTACAGTGCAGTAATAAAGAATAATTCTCTATGAAGATAATCTTGGTTTTGTTTGTACTGAAGTAGAAGAAACCGGTGTGAGACCGGTATTTCAGTTCACCATGCCAACTTGACGTGGGAGGAGACCCCCAGTGAACAGGCCTCAGATGTGTACCAGTTTGGTGAGTGAGTGAGTTTAGTTTTACACCGTTCTCGGCAATATTCTAGCTATATTGCGGCGGTCTGGACCAGACAATCTAGTGATTAACAGCATGAGCATCGATCTACGAATTGGGATACGATGACATGTGTCAACCAAGTCAGCGAGCCGGACCACCTGATCCCGTTAGTCGCCTCTTACAACAAGTATGGGTTGCTGAAGACCAATTCTAACCCGGATCTTCATGGGTGTGAAAGAAAGACAACAGGGTCTGGCATTAAATGACCATATCACCTTTATTGTTGGCCTGTAGGCTGGATGCATTATGTTGACAGGGGCAATAATACTGAGGGAAGGGAGGGGGGTCAGGATGAGGGGGTGAGGGAATATGTACATGGTGGTGCTACGTCTAACATGGCAACACTATACTGTACAGTATATACACAGAGCTAGGTGTTAGGAATACAGTATTATACACTGACAGAAGCATCAACAAGGAGTTTATACAAATATTTATCCTCATTGACATATACACTGTGCAACATTTCCTTGTTTCCATGGTTACACACTGACATAAAGACATAAAAATAGTCTCATATACTACTTAAAAAAAAGACAAAGCAACCCAATTCATTTTACTATAGTTAATCTGTCATGCTTTGAAAGAATCAGGTTGTCCTTAACTTTATTTCAGGAGTATATTTAGCATCCATGTATCAAAGTGAATAACTATCAGAAAGGAAGTATTATGGACGATTAACTCTTGACTATAGGAAATAATGGAGTGTATATGGTTTGTAATATCAAATATCTCTTCTGCAGACACATTTTAAAAAATATTAAAATTCGAAATTATGAACTTAATAAATACTAGCTAAAATACGCTCCATCTCAACAGACTGACCATGACATTTAGATCCAAAACTTGTCGAATGAGCAGTCATTAGGAATAACAGATGGCAATTGTCATTAATATCAGTACATAAAGTTGTGCTAAAATTGAGAGGAATATGACAATAAGTTTGTTCATGGACAGTCCAATAGCCAAAATAGCCATCAGACTTATGTGTTCAGCTGTAAGACTTGAGGTACATACAGCTGTAGGACTCCATATACAAACAACTGTAGGAATCCAGAGACAAACAGCTGCAGGAATCCAGATACATACAGCTGTAGCAATCCAGATACAAGGAATCCAGATACATACAGCTGTAGGGCTCAAGATACAAGGAATCCAGAGACAAACAGCTGTAGGAATCCAGAAACAGCTGTAGGGCTCTAGATACAAGGAATCCAGAGACAAACAGCTGTAGGATTCCAGAGACAAACAGCTGTAGGGATCTAGATACAAGGAATCTGGAGACATACAGCTGTAGGGATCTAGATACAAGGAATCCAGAGACAAACAGCTGTAGGATTCCAGAGACAAACAGCTGCAGGATTTCAGATATGTTCAGCATTAAGATGTACAAGTGTCCGCCATATCTGTAACCCTTCATTCAATATCCGACCTTTCATAACAACAACACAAGCGTTTATCAGACACACAATTGTTCTCCATTCCCAGTTATCAACAAAGCCAATTGTAACTTAACGCTGGCTCCTATCCAGCCCCCAAGAACCATGTACAAGAATCATCTCCACACAACAGTCGAGCACTGAACTGACACTGGAACATACACTGATTGCACATCTGGTAGAATGCCAAGATTTACGATTAAATAAAGAGTACACATTCACACACACTATAACATTAACTTTGGAAATATGCTGTTCCACATTTGTACAAATCCCCAACAATAACAAAACATGCTGACATACAATTATTTTGTTTAGATAAATTAGATAACACCTTATTTCTAAAAGTAGGCTATTCTGAACATATTTTCATGTTCCGAGATTTTTCAAACAAAATTAGCCCAAACTCAATTGTTAGATTATTCTATATATTTTTCAATTTTCATCTTATCATTGCATAGTGATAATGATGTTTGTGAAACAAGTACAAATTGGTTCACAACAACTAACACATATCTCTTGGGTAGAAGTTCAGAAGTTTAATGTCCGTTAAAAACTCACTAATTTTGAGAAATATTTTCATTATTTTGTCAATCGATACTTCTTTCATTGTTCATTGCAGATGAACTCATCCCTCATACAAGCTATCTTTACAAATACAATGGAACATATTATTTATTTTCAGAGGAAAATATGACAATTAGAAGCATTATTTAAAGACTTGTACTAGTACCATAAAAGATTACTTTCAAACCCACTACATTCCCAACCAAAATTTTAATTTAAGGAATTAAGATTATTAAGAATCATCAAACTCCTAAAAGCTCCAATAACAGCAAGCCTATAGTGTTGTAAACATTTTGTGAGATTACAATGTTATCACTTAGGTATTTTCAATCCTTATTACTCTACAGAATACCATTCAACCAAAGCTCGTCACAATGAGTACTAAAAATAGAAATAAAAAGGTGGAACCATAATTAGGAAAATAAAGCTTTGAAGAATAAAATCACAGACAAGCAACCAGACTAAAATGTTCCTATTGACATATAAAACACAGTGCACATGCAAACTTGCCCCAACTCAGCCTTAGCAATAGGTGCCACAGAATGAAAGTAGCTCTTAAATATTTCTTCAACTCAACAAAGATTACTTAAATATGTGATGAATTATCACACACAAATAAAGTGGAAAACTGATTTGGAATATAGCAATAAACAGAATGTCCAAAGTTTGTGCTATATAAGGGATAGACTAACATGAAGACAGACACATATGGTATGATTTCGTACAGCATTAAAATAGAAAAAACAGAAACAATCGCCAACCACATTTAAAAGACATTTACCCTCATGAAATATTGAGATATATTAACAAGCGTGTTTTTTATGGTGTTAGCACTGTCACAGCGAAGTCAGGCAAGCTGTGTGAGTTAATGGAAGATGTAGACATTGCCTGATCAACTAAGACATTTATGGGACAAAAATTACAACCTGTAAACAAAACAGTACACCTAGCAATAAGCCCAGAACAAAATTGGTCGACTGTGAAAAGACAAACAAAATGTGGAAAACATAGAAGTCTAAAAACACAGTAAGACAATATGAGTATTGTTTTCATCATGGTGGAATGGCTAAGAAAATATCTCATTGTTTTAAAAAAAGTAAAGTAGACAAGAGCTAATGGCTACTGTGAACTCAAAGAATAGAAAATATGAGAAAGGAAATGTTACGCTGAACATAATGAAAATACGAACTCTTGCATAATGAATCTATTTCTAGATCTTCAGTTCCACATACTATCAGCATGAAAACTAGTTTTTGTGTGAATGACATCATGTAATTTGTCATTGGTAGAGATGAGATTAGAGATGTTACACCTTGCATTGATGGAGTTTTAAATAAGTCTATTTTACCATGCAATGATTGGGGATATGTTTGTCTGTTTCCTGAAACGAACACCCCATTGCACCGAAACCCTGATTATATGTTGTTAGGATGCTAGCGGCATCTATTGAAACACTAAAAAGGCATCAACTTCCACTATTTAAAGGAGGATCGATGACTGGAAATGGGCTGTCCTGCCTTTTTTCTGACTTGAGCTGGTCATTGTAGAAGTAAAGACTGCAGTTACCAAGTAACAAGACATTTATCTGATTTGAGCCGGATACTGTAAAGTCTTGACTTTCCTTGAATATTAAAGGTGTCTTCCTCGAAATTCTCTTGCAGGTTACATTGAATGAACAAGATTTCGAAAAGTCTGATATCTAAGGCGAATGATGTTGCTAAACGTTATATTGTTCTTCCTATTCTTTAAGACTGTAGATACAAGGTCAAGGTAGTCATACCATGTAACCAAGGCAACCAGTCCCTACTCAAATTCATACTACACTGTAGAACCATGCCAAGATGTGTAAAGACAACCTCCATACAGTACTCCACATAAAGGGAGTACTTCAGATCTGTGTACAAGAAAACAACTAAAAGAATAGTGCTCAATACATTGCACTGATGCAGTGAGAGGGTGGTGAGCTCCACTCCACCCCACCCCTCGCCCCTGCCCCACCCCACTCCCATTCATCACTATGACCCAACAGTGAGCCAACCTTCTGATTGTCACAGTACTAAACATCCACCTGCAACACCATTTCTCCATGTTGGTCAGACAAAGCATCACCAGTGTGATGGGACAGTCCACTCTTTAAGCTGGTATATAAGTGTGGGTGAAACGTGGAAGCAGGAGGGAGACACTGTCATTGTTCGCTGTATGTCCAAATGAGCAACGCTGCTTAGAACAGTCAAACCTAATGTGACATTATCACAGGTATCTGGGATTCAAATGTATGTCCAGCAGATCCTAGCTTATGTTATGGGACAGATCCTAGCTTATGTTATGGGACAGATCCTAGCTTATGTTATGGGACACATATTTTCACTCAGAATGTGTGAGTGAGTGAGTTTAGTTTTACGCCGCTTTTAGCAATATTCCAGCAATATCACGGCGGGGGACACCAGAAAGTGGCTTCACACATTGTACCCATGTGGAGAATCGAACCCGGGTCTTCAGCGTGACGAGCGAATGCTTTAACCACTAGGTTTCCCCACCACTCCATCTTAGATTTGAACTACCAGAATCCTATAAGGTTGAAGATTGGATTGAATTACCTCTGTGAAAGTTCTCCTGAAAGTATGACAGTGAAAAGGAAGTTCATATACTGGATACCAAGATGAAAATTTCCTCAGCAAGAGGTGAGAACCACATATGGAATTTATTTGAAGTCTCTTGGAAATCAAAATAATTTCAAGCAGAAAGTAACTTCTCTTTCCAGTGTATCAGGAGACAACAGAGTTTATGACAGCCATTGCTCACATTCTAACAATCCTAACAAAATTCAAACAAAAAATAAGAGCATAGTATCTTTGAAACAGTTCTGAACAAAAAAAATCTTGTTGCTGAGAAAGTGTTAAGATGAATAAATAATGAATTTCCAATTCAAATAAGCTAAGTATTCATCAAGTCATGAAATAAATATCTTACTGCAGCAGGTAGACTACAGATTGCTACAGAAGACTACAGATTGCTACAGCAAGTCTACACCAACCTGGGAGATGAGCCATCATTAGAAGAACGACCACCATTGAGCGACAGACTTCTACAGTTATGAGCTAATAATGATTATCAGGGAATGACCTTCACACAGTAAAATATGTTCATTAAAACTTCAGATCAGTTTTCACTGGGCTAAAACACAGGCCACTATTTACATGCATGCACTATTTCATCACTGTACACCTCCTCAACATCCAGCCATCATTCACAGTTACACCGAGAAGCGTCCATCGACCACACAGCTCTCAGCAGCAACAGCAACGGCACTTTCTCCAACACTTGGACACAGAGGCTAAAAGCTGCTATTCCCACCTCCTTGTACTTCTAGCTGCATCTCAGATCACTACATTGTTCTAGAATCTTCAGGATTCAAACACTTCCATATCAAAACTGAATTGCATTTGGGTCAGCCGGTAGTTGTATGAGTTATCTCCCTTCATTTACACAGGATCTTACAAGACAGATAATGGTGATACATGTCCCACATACATATCCACATCCAGTAGTGAAATAATCATTTCAAAATACAATACTACTTAAAATCAGTCCACCTAGGGCTAAATGACTGATAGAGTTCTCACAGCATATAGGCAATATCATTACTTGGAGCCACAAGACAGCGTTGTTGTTAATAATATATACATCTAGAAAGAGGACAATACAGGGGAGATAACTCATATTCCTGGGATCCCATCACAGATTGTCTCCCCTAGCTGGGACTAACTAGAGAAGGGCCGCAGGTGCTCCAGCTGAATCTCCAGAGCTATCCTCTGCTCCATCACTTCTTGTAACTCCTGGTTAAGTTCACAGTTCAATCGGGTGAGCATTGCATTCCGCTCTGTGTGGGTACGCACTGCCATGTGAAGTTCACGCTTGTCTCGACTTGCTTGCCTGTAACACACAAATCAGTGTTATTTTAAGACAATGAATTCACTTGACAGTGAGTGAGTGAGTTTGTTTTACGCCCCTTTTAGCAATATTACAGCAATATCACAGCAGGGGACACCAGAAATAAGATTCAAACATTGCACCCATGTGGGGAATCGAACCCTGGTTTTCGGCATAAAGAGCTAACCCTTTAACCACTAGACTACCTCTCCACCCCTTATTGTAGTGAGTCAAAGGTATTTGTTACAACAGAATAGCAATATGATACTTTGGATAATCCTCAAATCCTGAAACAAACTATTGTGTTGAAACATTTAATATCATTGGATGAAGCAGTATGGAGTGAAAGGGATAACTGACACAGATGGGATGTAGTGTAGGGCCTACATATTCTGGTATAAACCAGTGGCAATTCTAGTCAGTTATACAGACCCTGACATAAATATACCCAAAACAGCTTCCTGCAAGCATGTGTGGCAAGGCTAGATTACCAGAGTTTTAGAGTCTGTACAAATCTACTGAATTCATATGCAGAGCTAATTATCAGTGTTTAATATTGTACATGGTGAGGCTCCCCACCATTCCCTTAGACCCCATACTGAGCCAAGACCTTTGATGACATTGAAGACATACTGACACAAAATCTCTGTATTTTCTTGAGTTGTTTCATCAGATCTCCAGATAAGATTCAGCTCATGTGGGTACTGTACCCACTGTATTTTTTTGGAGTGGGTATTATGAATGTTGAGTGGGTATTTCATTTTCCGTTACCCACTGCTTTTAAATATGTGTGTATTTCAGTCATTTTACTCACCTAAGTCCTGTAATCGTATATATTTTCGTGGGGTGCAATTTTCGCGGAAAATTCACAAAAGGCCTGTTCGCGCAGTTGTTTTTTCGCGCATTTCAAACACCTGAGTGATGGTATCCATCACAAAGTTTTCACAACCGATAGTCATGAAATGATCAAAGCTAGCTGCCATAATTGAATCGTGTTTACTAAAACAATCAGAAAGAGGCGGGATTATACTTGTGTCAACATTGTGATTTGTGGCTGACATTGCTTCGCGTGAACGAACATGCAAAAGAAGACCAAAGACGTCAAATTTGCAATTAAACATCGCTAGAAAAGATTATTTACCTATTCAGTTCTAGTTTGTTTTTGTTAGGCATTGCCTTATATGCAGGTATTAAGATTACTGTGTGTAATTGTCTAGTAAACAGCGCCGGAAATAGCAGTCAGCTGTGCAGTGCACACGTTCCCCTACCAGTGATTTAGTTAAAACGTACCCCGATAATATTCCGAGATGCAGTGATCTTAAAAGATAGTATCCCAAACTATTCTTTTTTAAAGAGAAATATATTCTAGTTTTGTGTCATTTTCATTGCAGGCTGTGCTCTATAAATGTAAAATATTAAAAATCATAACTAAGGTTATGGCTTTTAGCCGGATAGTTTTTATGCATGGAACAATTTAACCTGTCACCGATGAGGTTTCGTGCGATCTCGCTATTTCCACTACGAAAGTCGTTTGTTGACATGTGATCGTCCAGCTACACTAATTATGACTTTTGGCGAAACAAAATATGTATACGTATCCATTTACTGTCAACTACACTTCATTTCAAAGACGTGAGTAGACGCAGTATGTAAGTGATTGCTGTGAAATAAGTACATTATGTTGAGGAATTACCGGTAGGCGAACATCTGTGGACTTCTTGACATTGTTTGATCTTGTAATTTGTAAACATGGACCGGGAATAATTGCTTTGATGTTGTTATCTGAGAGAATAAACAAATTGCATGTTGTTCCTACTTGAGTATTTGTCATGACTTCACCATGAATATTTCGCTTGGTATGATTATTGGCGCACAATCTTTTTGCGCTAAAAACGCGAAAATTAATCCCACGCGAAAATAACTACGATTACAGTATTATGTCATTGAGTAAGTTTACTAAGCAGGTATGTTCTGCTTTATGTCATACCTAATCAAAACCAACTTAAATATAATGGAAATGATTTCATAAAAAATCACTCATACTATACTGACAGTACAACACTAGTCCTATACTAACAGTAGAACTTGATACCAATCGATGTCTTTTTCATTACGCAAGCTATTTTTATAAATATATTCCGTACGCATTTGTTTTAAACTTTTTGCGTATCTAACATTTTAAATGCGCAATTGGTACGCAATAATTATTTTTCAATGCATAATTGGAAATTTTCTATGCATATTTTACCCGGATACGCAGCTTATCTGGGCCTCTGGTTTCATTGTTACTCTGGTAAGGAGAGGGGTGATTTCTAAAAACTTGGCATTTAGGGGTAACAATAAACAATTACATTGATGAGGTGGTAATGGCAGCATGTACCTATAGGGAGAGGTGGTTGGGTGAATAAATGTTCCTGTCACACACACTTTCAATAGCATGTCAGTGTTGGGTATTAAGAATCTTTGCTTGTGTTGTGAAATTCCAAGCAATTACAGTTCTGAAAATTTGTATAGCATCTGAAAATGAAGGTGGTCTCTGGGCTCCTTTTCATTATAGCTTATCAATATCATTTAGGAACTGGTATATTGTAAAATATGTTCATTTCAGAGACTAGATGTTTGTATATGGCAAGTTGTGTGTTTACCGTAATGCTAAGACCGCATGCTGAGGCTTGCCTGACTCCACCTCCTCTGCCACGCTCTGTTCCCGTGGCAACGGCGATACAACCTGAGAATATATTACAATATTGACTTCAGTATTTTCACATTCTTATCATCCTATGGCATCGATTTATGAAACAATTAATGTTTCACTGAGCAGATAAGATTTCAATAGGAAATCTTTGAAAACATGAACACATTGAAACTAGTATGGAAACTGAGATGCTATCACTGGATTATGTTTTCAGGCATCATACTTTCTCGGAAAGCAGTGTCTACTCACACACTAAAAAGGTTTGTTGCATCACAAAGACATTGTTAAAACTCAGATGATGGCTTGTATTTAAGATAAAGTTAGATGTCATACAGCTGTTCATGTGTAAAGTGAGAGAACGATGAAAATCCATTATATAGGGATACTTATTCCTTTATTACAATACAAATTGTGAAACATGTTACTAAGTACATCTCTTCTATGGAAAACAAGGTCGGCAAATATAAACCTGTGTCTTTGGCGTGTCGAGCGAACGCTTTAACCACTAGGATCACCCATGTAACAACCCAAGTTACCCATGTAACTTTGACTAGGACCTTTGACAAAGAGGTTTCTCAAAGCAACCACTGTGCATGACCAGAGTGACAGAAACATGGCAGCTTGTATACTTTCAGAGGTGCTATGCATCTTTACATGTCATACCTTATTTTCTGCTGCTACTGTCAGACTGGAAGAAGCTGTACTGGAGAAATCTGCAATTGAATGGATACAATGAGCGTTTGCTGGTTTAGTTCCACAATCAGCAATATGCCAGCAATTTGACAGTGACCTTTAATTAATTCAGTCTGAACCAGACAATCCAGTGATTGACACAGTGAGCATTGATGCATCCCTGTGGGTTGCAGGTTCTTAAGCCTAACCATCCCATTCATTTAGAAACCTCAATCGACAAGAACAGGTTGCTACGAACCTTTCTCCTTTCCTGCAATCCCTGTACTTACGAGTAAAGAAGTTCCGATATTCTGCTGCTGTTTGCGTCATACCAGCAGTATTATGGCACAAATGGCCTTCAGAGTGACCTGTGAAGAACCACTAGGTTACCCCAACGCTCTTAACCCTAAGTATTAAACCTGATAACAATTATGTCTGAAAGTAGTTTTCATCAAAGTAAGTTACCTCCACTCCCATCCACAGTATCCTTCGGGACCTGAAACACATCACAAAACTCATTACCTTGAGACATATCACAAAACTCATTACCCTGAAATGACACAAAACTGATGAGACATATCTCAGGACTCTTTACCCTGAAATGACACAAAACTGATTATCCTCAAACATCTCCAGGATCCTTTAAGACCTGAAATGACACAAAACTGATTATCCTCAAACATCTCCAGGATCCTTTAAGACCTGAAATGTCACAAAACTGATCATCCACAAACATCTCCAGGATCCTTTAAGACCTGAAATGACACAAAACTGATTATCCACAAACATTATCCTTCAGCATCCTTCAGAGGTGGGAATACATCACAAAACAGATTACAGTGGAAGCCCTCTAAACCGGCATTTGTTGGGACTGGCAAAAAATGCCGGTATAGAGGGCGTGTCAGTTTAGAGAACTTTTCCCTTTTCAATCTGAGAATGATCTTCCGTGTGCCGTAAACTACAATTGAACGTGTTGATAGTCATGATATTCTCAATGACTTTCTCTTTCAAACTAGGGCCAGAAATGGGCATGTTTTTACTGCGGGCAGTCAAACACCAATAATGTGTCAGTTTGTTAATTTTGTCAAATTTACTTTTATCTTTCACACGATTATTTATAATACAAGTGACACATGTCACTCATCAATTTACCTTGCCTACTTAGGCCTAATCCTTATCCATACTCATTTTATCAGGTAACATCAATGAGCTTAATGTCGATGGTTATCCACTGTGTTGTCAATACACATTCAGCCAATCAGCCAATCAACCAATCAACAGGAGAGCCGAGATACCGGATGCCGGTTTAGAGAGTTTCAATTACTATACAAACAGTCAATTGGGCGGTCTTTGTTATGCCCAAATACAGAATATACTGACGCTGGATTAGAGGACGTGTAAATGATCATAGATTAACTAGTTTCTGCTGGGACCAAATTCTAGTTCCGAAATTGAGAGCATGCCGGATTGGAGGGCTGCCGGTTTAGAGGGCTTCCACTGTAATTTGAAATTTAGCTATCCAGCATCCTTTGAGGCCTGATATACATCACAAATCTGATTATCTTCAAACATCTCAAGGATCCTGCAGGCCCTGAAATACATCACAAAACTCTACCTGTTGACATTTAGTGGGGGACAGTGATGCGTTCTGGTGGGAAGCAAACCCAGATCTTTGGTGCAACAAGTTACCACTTCAACCACATGGCTACCCCAACAGTTTATTATACAGTCAATTAAGCTGCTTTGTCATATTACATAACAGGTACAATAAAAACAGCCATTGTCTTGTCACACATTCCATCATGCCATAAAGTTTCTCAATCTTTCATCTAAAAAAGCAATATATTAACATGCAGTGAGACTTGTATCTTTCATGTTTGATTCTGTACAGTATAAAGTTATTAAAATCATTTTTATGTGTTGGTGTGAGATGACATAATCATATTTGTGAAATTCCAGCAGTGTGAAATAGGTAGTTTCATATAAGCAGAAAATAAGAATCAGTACACTAATGTTATTAATACATAGATACCACAAAGATAAAACATATCTCAGGCCATAACAAATTATCAGATTTTAAACTCACTTCAGTTCAAAAATAATACGAACGTGAGATCATCTGTTCCTAAGCATAATGTAATACACCTTATATAGTCGAAACAACAAGGCTTGAAGACAATCACACTCAATTAATGTGCAGAGATGTCCTAACCAGATTTATTAAAAACAAAGAGTTTCCTTATATTTTTCAAAATTTGAAAATCTGATGTCATTTATTGTGGCCTAATATCAGGTAATGGTCAGGTGTTCTATCTATGAGGATCATTGTGCCACTGTGAAAGGGTAACACAATATACATGGGATAGAAAATATGTTTCTAAACCTTTCACTAGAGATACCATTGTGCAGATCTTGAACCACAAAGTGCAGAGCTTGATTTACAAGATGGTGGTTGAGGCAGGACAGAGACAAAACACATCCTAGATTTCAGCAATACCATACATACCAAAAAAAGTGTTCGAACAGCATTTCATTTTTATCCAAATGTATTATACAAAAACACCTCAGAAAATTGTAATGAATAAATGGATGATTTAAACTAATTAACTAGCAATAAGTGATTGACTGCAAGAATGACATAGATAAGTGAAAAATAAACAAATCAGACCCTCAAATTGACCCTTGAAGTACAAAGGGGTGGTATGCATAGGACAAACGGAAACAAAACCATTGAAACAGCTCAAGTTGAACATGGGTGACGCAGAATTATTCCCACCGCAAAACAAATAAGGTCCAATGATGACAATCCCACCATAAAACCAAAACGGCCCCACTTCTGCAGATTAACTGATGAACAGGTGCTGAATTCAAACCGGAACATTTGCAGAAAATCCATGCGATGATATTTAAGTTGAACAAGATGAAAACTGCCTAGAAACACATCCAAGAGACACTGCAGATGTATAGCTGGACGTCACCGTCATGCAGTGCGGCATCCTGGGACATGACACACACACACAGCCTCTCGGCAACAGCTGATGGGTGGCGGTCTACAATCTAGTTCATGCACCGATGTAATTCCTCTCCCAAACTCTATGCAACAAAACAATCAGCCCATTACCACCAAAAATCTCACCACTTTTTTATAATCTAGAGAAAAAGATCTGCGGTGCCTCTCCCGGACGGACTTTGTTAGTAGCTGTGGAGCAGATACCAACTGCAAGAAAGAAGGTTAGAATGAGCACCTCATTAGTGACTGTGTTCTCTGTCGTCGACAAGGGCTCACTAAACGACACTGCCCGATCTGCACCCCCTTCCGTGGCGGCAATACCTGCACCTTCATTGGTTTTCCAGCCGGGTGCCTGCAATTACAGTTTGGGGTACAGTTACATGGTTAGTTTTTCAGTCTGTCCACGAAGCGCGGAGAAGAGCTTGGTTTTACGCCATCATCCTTAGTGTCACATATATCTCTTTGGCTGCTATAATTAGTCAGCCTGACACAGGTGAACCAGTGGTGGACAGCATGAGCATCAAACCAGGCCAACCACGGACATGGCCTTACTCAACACAGTCACAGATGGGTGATGGCTTCAATAAGAGGCTGGACACTTCAGGGACTGTATCCAGACATAGGAGCTCATCTCCACATGATCAATCACAGCTGAAGGGCACGAGGCCTAGTTTCCACCAAGTCATACTGGATCCTTTGGAATGTATTTATAGATGGAACATGGTACTAATCTTATTTCTACATAACTTCTGACAGGGACTTTGTACCATTGAACAGCTCATTTACTGGTGTCCAGACAGAAGCATCAGCTATGTATATTTTGGAGTGTGATAACTTGATTGTATGTTGCAGAGCTACAGATAACTTTTGGGGTCATTGAGTTATGTACCCGCTTGTCTTCATCTCAATTGGGTATCCTAATTTTCCTTTGAGTAACCAAACAAATTGTACTCACCTCACTCAAAATCAATTGGGTATTTTGCCTTTTTCCATTAAATGTTAAAATATAATAAAGTTTAAATGTTAGTGTTTGTTATTTATATTTGATCTGTAATATGAGAAACGATATGAAAGACTGCTAGTTGAGTGTTCATGTGCCGAAATAGAACCTCTAAATATACCTCAGTTGCTTTATCTATCCACTGGTACGCAAGCTAAGATTTGACAGTTTTCTGTGCACGCATGTACAATCAAATTTATTGAGTATTTACAAAAATACAAGCGTACTTGTGCGCAACAGACGTAATATGAATTGAGTTTTCACATAAATATTTGCGTAATTTACGCAGATACGCAGCTTATCTGTACCTCTGATGTTGTGCAGTATGATAATCTGATCGCTGTGCAGAATGATAATCTGTATGTTGTGCAGTATGATAATCTGTATGTTGTGCAGCTGGATAATTTGAATGTTATGCAGAATGATAATCTATATGTTGTGCAGTATGATAATCTGTATGTTGTACAGCTGGATAATTTGAATGTTATGCAGAATGATAATCTATATGTTGTGCAGTATGATAATCTGTATGTTGTGCAGCTGGATAATTTGAATGTTATGCAGTATGATAATCTATATGTTGTGCAGTATGATAATCTCTATGCTGTGTGGTATGTTAATCTCCATAAGTTATTCAGTATGATAATCTGTCCATGCTATAAGTATGATAATCTATATGTTGTACAGTATGATAATCTGTTTGTTGTGCAGTATGATAATCTGTATGTTGTGCAGCTGGATAATTTGAATGTTATGCAGTATGATAATCTATATGTTGTGCAGTATGATAATCTCTATGCTGTGTGGTATGTTAATCTCCATAAGTTATTCAGCATGATAATCTGTCCATGCTATAAGTATGATGATCTTCACTTGTTGTGCAGTATGATAATTTGTATGTTGTGCAGTATGATAATTTGTATGTTGTGCAGTATGATAATCTCCATAAGTTATTCAGCATGATAATCTGTCCATGTTATCAGTATGATGATCTTCACATGTTGTGCAGTATGATAATCTATATGTTGAGCAGTATGATAATTTGTATGTTGTGCAGTATGATAATCTCCATAAGTTATTCAGCATGATAATCTGTCCATGTTATCAGTATGATGATCTTCACATGTTGTGCAGTGTGCCAATCTGTTTGTTGTGCGGTATGATCATAAATTATTCAGCTTGATAATCTGTCCATGTTATAAGCATGAGTGAGTGCAGTATGATAATGTCAATTTGGACATTTGTGCTGAAATAATGTACAATTCATCAGAATGCATTATTAATATGCATTATTGATATGACCGTAAGTCAGTGTGTAGTAGAGTCTTGCATGGTAATCAGTAAGTATGTAAAACACATAGTGTGATAATAGTTGTATATGATAATCAGTAGGTAAGTAACACAGTATTACGTTTTTGTACATGATTACTTGTCATGCAATAATTTAGTTTAACCAGGCGTCAGGAGAGGTTTCCTGATATACGATCATATCCAGTGAGTAATCGCAAGTACACTTTGGATATGGCTAGGAGTAAGGTTGTCATTGAAAGATCAAGACACAGATGTGAGATCAATACGTTAAACAACAAGCCAGCTATCATTAGAAATAAACAGCAGACAAAAGGACAACAACACCTACAACAGCAGCCATCAATCCACAAATTCACAAACATTCACACTTTCAGTCACAGGACGTAAATAGGCATGCATACATTTCATCACAGTCAGCAGAGACTGGGCACTGGCTAACATCATGACTGTGGAGTCTGAGAGTCATCTCCCCTTACTGAATGATACAGAGGACTTACGTCTTTTGGCGACACTCTCGGTGGTACAGCTGGGGGAGGCAGCAGAGCACTGTAATTTCCTGGAAAGAAAAATATATGTACCATTAGTTTAGGAGGAATAACCGTGTATCATCAGTTTAGGAGGAACAATTGTATACCATCAGATTTGGAGGAACAAGTATGTATCATTAGTTTAGGAGGAACAAGTATGTACCATTAGTTTAGGAGGAACAACTATGTACCATTAGTTTAGTAGGAACAAGTATGTATCATCAGTTTAGGAGGACCACTTATGTACCATCAGTTTAGGAGGAACAACTGTGTATCATCAGTTTAGTAGGAACAAGTATGTATTACCAGTTTAGGAGGAACACATATGTACCAGTAGTTTCGGAGGAACAACTATGTAAAATCCGTTTAAGAGGAACAACTATGTATCATCATTTAGGAGGAACAACTATGTACAATCAGTTTAAGAGGAACAAGTATGTATCATCAGTTTAGGAGGAACAAGTATGTATCATCAGTTTAGGAGGAACACTTATGTACTATCAGTTTAAAAGGAACAACTATGTACCATCAGTTTAAGAGGAACAAGTATGTATTACCAGTTTAGGAGGAACACACATGTACCAGAAGTTTTGGAGGAACAACTATGTAAAATCAGTTTAGGAGGAACACTTATGTATCATCATTTAGGAGGAACAACTATGTACAATCAGTTTAAGAGGAACAAGTATGTACCATAGGTATAGGAGGAACAACTTTGTACCATAAGTTTAGGAGGAACAAGTATGTATCACCAGTTTAGGAGGAACAACTATGTACCATAGGTATAGGAGGAACAACTTTGTACCATAAGTTTAAGAGGAACAACTGTGTACTATCAGTTTAGGAGGAACAGCTATGTACCATAGGTATAGGAGGAACAACCTTGTACCATAAGTTTAAGAGGAACAACTGTGTACCATCAGTTTAGGAGGAACAACTATGTACCATCAGTTTAGGAGGAACAACTGTGTACCATAGATATAGGAGGAACACTTATATACCATGAGTTTAGGAGGAACAAGTATGTATCACCAGTTTAGGAGGAACACTTATGTATCATCAGTTAGGAGGAACAACTATGTACCATCAGTTTAGGAGGAACAACTGTGTACCATCAGTTTAGGAAGAACACTTATGTACCATGAGTTTAGGAGGAACACTTATGTACCATCAGTTTAGGAGGAACAAGTATGTATCATCAGTTTAGGAGGAACAAGTATGTATCATCAGTTTAGGAGGAACAACTATGTACCATCAGTTTGGGAGGAACAACTGTGTACCATAGATATAGGAGGAACAACTATGTACCATCAGTTTAGGAGGAACAAGTATGTATCACCAGTTTAGGGGGAACACTTATGTATCATCAGTTAGGAGGAACAACTATGTATCGTCAGTTTAGGAGGAAGACTTATGTACCATGAGTTTAGGAGGAACAAGTATGTATCACCAGTTTAGGAGGAACACTTATGTACCATGAGTTTAGGAGGAACAAGTATGTATTACCAGTTTAGGAGGAACAAGTATGTATCATCAGTTTAGGAGGAACAACTGTGTACCATCAGTTTAGGAGGAACAACTGTGTATCATCAGTTTAGGAGGAACAACTATGTACCATCAGTTTAGTAGGAACAACTGTGTATCATCAGTTTAGGAGGAACAACTATGTACCATAAGTCTAAGAGGAACAACTGTGTACCATAAGTCTAAGAGGAACAGCTGTGTACCATCAGTTTAGGAGGAACAACTGTGTACCATCAGTTTAGGAGGAACAAGTATGTATCATCAGTTTAGGAGGAACAAGTATGTATCACCAGTTTAGGAGGAACACTTATGTATCATCAGTTAGGAGGAACAACTATGTATCATCAGTTTAGGAGGAACAACTGTGTACCATCAGTTTAGGAGGAACAACTATGTACCATGAGTTTAGGAGGAACAAGTATGTATCACCAGTTTAGGAGGAACAATTATGTATCATCAGTTTAGGAGGAACAACTGTGTACCATCAGTTTAGGAGGAACAACTATGTATCATCGGTATCAGTTTAGGAGGAACAAGTATGTATCACCAGTTTAGGAGGAACACATATGTACCAGGAGGAACAACAGCTGTGTATCATCAGTACAAAGACAGACACAAATATTCAAATATACTACTCAAAAGAAATTTAAGAACACTTGATTCTTTCATTTTACAGATTATGAATTAAATTGGTGGGGAAAATATTCCGAAACAAAAAGCATTTCCTCAATGAAACCTTGAATATCATCACAACACAGTTAAGTTATAACTTATATCAACAAAACAGAAGCCCTTCTATTTACATGAACTACTTCCCCATTAAGCAACAGTGAAATCTTTTTTTTCAAAAGACATTTACACGGTTGAAAAATTCATATCCAGAAGGAACAATAATTTTGATAAAAATTCAGGCAAATGGTTTGCTTTATTCTCAATATATATTTTTAAAACCGATCAGTTCTTAATGTCATATTTGTAGGTATTCTCAAGCTGCTGGTTAGCTTCCAAATCCAGATCCTTCTTGATCACAACTAGTTATACTTGTAATCTGATAGTAGTGACACTGACCTCCTTCTGTCTTTGGCTTGAGATCAACTGACATACTGCGTCCGTGTGTGCCGGGTGGTCTAGGAGGTGGTGCAGGGGGCTCGGAGTTGACTAAAGATGACTCGCCGCTCACAGAGGACAAAAGGGCGTGAGGCCGATCCGGGCCGACTTCGTGACTAGTTAGTGGAGGGGGTTGTATATGACCACGGACAACCATTGGCACTGAAATAAACAAGGAAAACATACAGACTGTCTTGTCATCGTGGGCTACCCTCAGTATACAGTTTCCTGACCTGAAACTGATCTCCTGTAACTGGAAGGAAATTATCTCTTCCTTAACTCACATATAGACAAACAGAAACATGACCTTTAGACACTTATTCTTGGTATGTGTAAACATACCTCTCAAATATAGTTACTGAGTTTAAGCTTAATATCAGGTCCTTTCAAAAATATTTCAGTCATAGCACTACACGTCTGCTTGATATGGACCAAAAGTCTGACAAATTCAAAACACAGGAAGCAGGTTCAAAATCCAACCACTAGCCCATTGAATCTAATTATTCAGAAAGCGAATGAATATGTGAAGATCCATAAGAGAATGCTTCAGGCAAAGAATGAATAATCCCATGAGAATTCTAATGATCTTGATGCTAATCAAATTAATTCTTGTCTGGCAAAACCCAAACCATCACCCTGAGAAAACAATGGTTCAAAAAGGAGTTCACCTAAGACAGTTACTGGAAATCCTTCAGTAGGTGCTGAATTTGGTATTTTACTTTGTTAATACCTGATCCTCTATCAGCGTCTTGTTACAAATACAGTAACTGTTGCTGTAAATCTTCTGTTACAATACTTTCCTAAAGATCATTGAAATCTCAACTTACCTGCATAAAATCATCAGAGCCAGTAAAACTACAACACTGTACATACTGTTTTGTATAGTCTGCCATGCACACATGTACAACGACACTATAACACTAGCACTTCATCACAGGGGTCAGACCACCATCTAACTGACATGTTTTACATCAAAGTATTAGTGGTGTTCCGATTAATTTAAATAATCGAAGATTGGTCGCAGTAACCAAACGACCAAGCAATCGATCACATTTTCTCATAATCGAACATAAACGATTTTTTAACTACTTTTTTAGTCTTTAAAATACTTGACAATGGAACATATCGTTGAAGTTGTCAGTGCCTGAAAACGTGTTTAATTCATAGAAAACTCACTTCACTAACTGAAAAGCCATGACTGAATATTTCTTGAAGACTCCAGGAAGTTTATGTTCATGATATATAAGTCATCACTTTAAAGTAGCAAGTTGCATCATGTTATACATATCTGCAATAACAACCTGGATAGGAAAATCTGAAAAATGACGCTAACCAATTTTTTTGTTATGACTGTTCGTTGGTAATGAAGCAATCATCAATTGTGAGATTTCAACCAATTCCCAACACTACTAAGTATATGCAGAACAAAAAATGCGGCTGTCCGCTCGGCTGTAGATGCAAAAGTGAGTGATTAAATGTTGTACCACTGGTCAGCAATATTCCAGCTATTTCACAGTGGCCTGTACCTATTTGAGCCCAAGAATGAGTAGTTTCTTCTCCACTTTCAGGGTCGCAATCCACAAAACGTTCGTACGACATTCGTAAGCCCATGATAAACCGAAGAGCTACGACAGGTTGTAACGTTACCAACGCTTTGTGGATCGGAACCCTGGAATATTCCATCTACTTCACAGTGGACTCTACTTATTTGTCTTTTAGAGTGAGTAGTTTTAGCAATATTCCAGCCATGTTCCAGCCAAAACGTGGGGATTAGAACCCAGGACCTAGTGCAGTGAGCCATCACCAGAACTACTAAGCTAACTCATGTCTTGGGTAGGGTACGACCACTGCTGAAAGCTTGGATGGTTACAATGTGTGACTGTCTTGTGACTTGGTCATTAGGGTTCGACACAGTCACACACTGTAACTACCCAGTTCACAGAAGTCAGCCAGTGTTAGGTTCTAATGCAGTTTTGACTGACATTCCATTTACATCAAAGCTGCATCTGAGTGGGATGCAAGCACAAAGTGATGCAGGTCTCAGACATTTACCACTTTGGAAATACCCACAGTTGGCGCTGACAAACAATCATCATGGTGAACTGGGGCTCAAACCCATAATAAGCTCCTGGAGTGCTCAAGGGACACAACTCTGCACAGGCCACCTTTGTCCCCACAAGTCAAATGAGTCCGTGGCATCAATTACAGATCCAACAAAATCATGAACAGAAAGAATAGATAAGTCATGTTTGAGGCTATCTGGTGGAGAGAGAGACAGACAGAGTGTGATGAGTGACGCGGACAGTGCCAACAACTGATTGGTGAATACATTCATAACTGTTTCCATGGTAACAACAGTTCCCCAACTTCTTAACACATACTGTTCGTATCCTGACATATTTCATATGTTATGTCAAACTACACAAGTAAACTTACTGATTTGATTTCAACTGAATGATATACTCCTGAAAACAAATAAAGGAACTTCCTTTAAGCTTTTCCTGCTTTTCGCCCAGTGCAATACAGAGCATGCGAAGAAACCTGGAAAAGAATATAGGAACACTTTTGCTTTCATGTGTTCCCTTATTTGTTTCCATGAGTATATGTAGAACTACATTATTGCATCTCAAACCCAATGAAACTTTATTATTTTCGAGACAAAAATGAATAAGTCAGCTTGAAGGAAAGGATCGATTTTCAAAATCAAGAGTTGGAAATGACAGATTTAACTGTGCCTCAACTTAAACCCCTGTATGTGTCCTGTTTACTGAAATACCATAATCAGGTAAGTACATCAGTCACTGAAAGCAATATTCCATCTACAATATGGCCCTTAAAATATCAAGTTCTAACCAGACAATCCAGTGATTGATATTTTGAGCATCAGGGTACAGTGACACGCAATCAACCAAGTCACGGAGTCTTACATGATTAATTGAGTCACCTCTTACAAGCATAGTGAGTGAGTGAGTTTAGTTTTACGCTGCTTTTAACAATATTCCAGCAATATCACGGCGAGGGACACCATAATTGGGCTTCACACGTTGTGCCTATGTGAAACATAGAACTCAGGTCTTTGGTGTGACATCCGAATGCTTTAACCACTAGGCTACCCCTCCGCCCCTACAACAAGCATAAGCTGCTAGGAAACATTCTAATGTCGAATCCTGACAAGTTTACGTAATTCAGACTTGGACTTCCCAGAAGTATATTACATGAACCGACAGTTGAACTTCTGTGTGTGTCTTCTATCAGTTCAATTCCTATTCCGACAAACACATGAATAGCATATCCATTTTTGACAACTGTTTGTCATTGACAAAAAAGTTACCCATTTAGCAGGCATATTCATGTCTACCTGGATTTTGCTTCTTTGCAATAGGCCTGGGTCGGCCATGGAGGGGTGTGTTGTATTTAGCTGAGGGGTCACTCTGACTAGCGTCAGGGTAGGACTCAGTATTGGAACGTTGCTTTGTGGGGGTAACAGCGTCCGGCGAGTCAGGTGGGGCACAGTCATGCGACCCAGGATCTGCAATACCCATGGAAACAACGCAACTAAACAAACTAAAGACAACATCAATGATGCAAAACAAGGAAAAGCTAACTCAATGGACAGAATGTCAACAACTTATGCATGCAGGTCCACATTAACACATTGAAAGTCAAATAGTTTAAGATTCATGAATATTTGTAAATTACATCAAAAACAAATCTTTATTTTGACATATTTTAAAGCTTATTTGCCTTTCAGGCACATCAAGCATGCACAAACTACTGACTAGAAACATGAAACTGAAACTGGCCGGTGATAAAACACATCGTTATTTTGTCAGTGGGTATGAAACATGCATAGATACAGAAGCCATATATTTGATCTGCTGATGGAATCTGGAAGAAACTGTGTAACAACGGAAAAATTGCTCTCCCTAAGTCTGTTTCTCATTTTCACATATGAGTGCAGTAATAAACTATAACAAAAGCATTTTCCACTTGAGTGTGTGAGTTGGGTTTTATGCCACTTTTAGCAATATCACAGCATGATCATGCAGGAGACAGGACATACTGACAATTAAACCCAGAGAGGGACTGACAATTAAACCCAGAGAAGGACCTACTGGCAATTAAACCCAGAGATGGACCTACTGGCAATTAAACCCAGAGATGGACCTTCTGGAAATTACACCCAGAGATGGACCTACTGGCAATTAAACCCAGAGATGGACCTTCTGGCAATTAAACCCAGAGATGGACCTACTGGCAATTAAACCCAGAGATGGACCTACTGGCAATTAAACCCAGAGATGGACCTTCTGGAAATTAAACCCATGGATGGACCTTCTGGCAATTAAACCAATGGATGGACCTTCCATCAATTAAACCCAGAGATTGACATACTGGCAATTACACCCAGAGATGGACCTACTGGCAATTAAACCCAGAGATGGACCTACTGACAATTTAACCTAGAGAGGGACTGACAATTAAACCCAGAGAAGGACCTACTGGCAATTAAACTCAGAATTGGACCTACTGGAATTTATACCCAGAGATGGACCTACTGGCAATTAAACCCAGAGATGGACCTACTGGAAATTAAACCCAGAGATGGACCTTCTGGCAATTAAACCCAGAGATGGACCTTCTGGAAATTAAACCCAGAGATGGACCTACTGGCAATTAAACCCAGAGATGGACCTAGGCAATGGACCTGGACCTACTGGCAATTAAACCCAGAGATGGACCTACTGGAAATTAAACCCAGAGATGGACCTACTGATGGCAATTAAACCCAGAGATGGACCTACTGGCAATTAAACCCAGAGATGGACCTACTGGAATTAAACCCAGAGATGGACCTACTGGCGTGGTAAACCCAGAGATGACCCACTGGCAATTAAACCCAGAGATGGACCTACTGGCAATTAAATGGACCTACTGACAATTAAACCCAGAGATGGACTCTACTGAGAGATGGACCTACTGGCAATTAAACCCAGAGATGGACCTACTGGCAATTAAACCCAGAAATTAAACCCAGAGATGGACCTGGACTGGCAATTAAACCCAGAGATGGACCTACTGGCAATTAAACCCAGAGATGGACCTACTGGCAATTAAACCCAGAGATGGACCTACTGGCAATTAAACCCAGATGACTTACCTGGACTGGCAATTAAACCCAGAGATGGACCTACTGGCAATTAATTAAACCCAGAGATGGACCTACTGGCAATTAAAATTAAACCCAGAGATGGACCAGAGATGGACCTACTGGCAATTAAACCCAGAGATGGACCTTCTGGCAATTAAACCCAGAGATGGACCTACTGGCAATTAAACCCAGAGATGGACCTTCTGGCAATTAAACCCAGAGATGGACCTACTGGCAATTAAACCCAGAGATGGACCTACTGGCAATTAAACCCAGAGATGGACCTACTGGCAATTAAACCCAGAGATGGACCTTCTGGCAATTAAACCCAGAGATGGACCTACTGGCAATTAAACCCAGAGATGGACCTTAAACCAGAGATGGACCTAAACCCAGAGATGGACCTACTGGCAATTAAACCCAGAGATGGACCTACTGGCAATTAAACCGAAACATGGACCAGCTGACAATTAAACAAAAAGATGGACCTTCTGACAATTAAACCCAGAGATGGACCTACTGGCAATTAAACCCAGAGATGGACCTACTGACAATTAAACCCAGTTTGGCATTACACATTGTCACACTTTCACCACTACACAGCCACCATATTTCTATCTGAAACTTTATTTCTGATCTCTATTTCTGTGCTCCTCATTTTCCAGACCTCAATCCTCATCAGGCTATGCCAGACTTATTCCTACATTATAATAGCAATTTACAACAAATCCCAGCTCTAATGCATCATGAACTGCAAACCTGTAATCCAGTCCAGAAGGCAAGATGTTGCCACATATATACAGATGTCTGTGACACACATCCAAAACGAAAACGTAAAAACACATATGAAACCAGACCCACCTTACGTTAATAATACAACACTGACTACACCCAAAACTGGCAATTAAAACCGTTTCACAAAATACAAAAGATAAAAATATCAATTGATAATAAAAAAAGACATTTAAAAAAATATGAAAGAAACAGGTAGGTTTCTGATAGACATATTCCCTTACAATGAAATAAATATATTAAAACACAGAAGACACAAAAATGATTTTAAAAACATTTAAATAAAACATGGACGTATCATGATCACTTTCTGACACACAGCCAACTTGACAACAATGAGTATGTGACAGTGTACGATATGTAAAGCAGTAGAGAGTTAGAAGAGTGAGTGGGAAGCTCCATCACCAGCCTCAATACCTGACAATGCCCTACCCCTGTCGAATCCCTCGGGAGCTATCGGGTGGCCATCCGGAGACATTCGTACAGCCACAGGGTGAATGATCTTTGAATCCTGCAACAAATACTGGTCATAGTTATGTACGTTTTCCCAGTAAAAAGCAAAATACCCAGTAAAGAAATATATACCACTAATGTAAGAAAACAGTCATTAAAAAATCATATGACAAATCATAACGATTTACTTTCAAGAATCACTAAAATATAGAATCAGATTAAAAGTAACCGTGACAATATGCAAATGATTAATTTTTCACGCTCACAACAAGCAAACCAGTAGGGACACACTTATTAGTATATGACTAACCACCAAGGAGAGACTTGTTAGTAAAGTTCTAATAGACACAAACATGAAGCAAACAGCCTTTGTTTCTTATTCCCAATTTTATTTCTAAATTTGGTACTGCAATGTGTAATGTGACAAGAGCAGGTAACTCTGAACACACTTCATGATCAGTTGCCTGGCAACAGCAGCTCTCCTGACATGGTCAAAATGATGAGGTAAAGGTACAAACACAATTTCATTTCATTCTGACAATTTGTCCAAAGCATAACACAAGAAACACAAGACATATGATAGGCTTTGAAGTAGATGAGAAAATCAACGTTTACAAAAGTCGACTGTGCAAAAAAGTAAAATGAGAAAAAACAAACAAAAGAAACAAAAATACTTAAAAACATGGCAAGAGAAGACCTTGACACACTTTCAAGGGAATGACATTAATCTTGTACCTCTACTACTCAACATTGATCCAGTTAATAGACTAGTTTGAATCTACAAGACTATATCTTGCACACATCTCAACATACAGGTGGTACCGCTGGTCAACAATCCAGTCTCCCTCCCACTGCACACAGATCTGAAGATACCCCATTACAGTTCGTCAAAAGTAGACCTTTCTTCTGACAAATCATAGTTTTGTTTACAAGATATTGATTTTACGCCACTTTTAGCAATTTTCCAGCAATATCACGGTGAAACACCAGAAATTGTCTTGATACATTGTGCCTATGTGTGGAATCGAACCCGGGTCTTCAGCGTGACGAGCGAACGTTTTAACCACTTGGCTACCCCATTCAAAAGGCATGTAAAACAACAGCAACTGTTGGGTTGTACGACGGATTTTGTCATTACTGACACTCTCGCTTCAAACATTTCAACCAGTAGAGACTTTCCAGAGCCTTTGTAGGGTAGTGCCATACAATCTCTATTAGAAAATTATTAGAAAATGCAGAATGTTCTATGCTTCAAGTTTCAAGAATCAAGAATTTTGTCAAAATTTGTTTCAAAATGTAGTTGCTGATTTGAAACTATTATCACAACGTTCTAGAAAGCTTCCTTCTGATTGGCTAATGTCAAGTATGTGTTAGTCCTTCCATTAGATAGTCAGATGAAAAAGGTAGTCCCGATACAACCAGTAATGGAACGTCCACAGTTTTTAGTGTAGTGGCAGTGAGCACCAAGATCTCATTTGTATCGCTAAACAGTCTGCTAAACAAGCAATGATAGAATGCCAAGAAACAAAGAACAGGAAAACAGAGAAATAATACTCTAAAAGGCATCTAAAGTATGATTGGTATCATAAAACACAAAACGCCAGTTTACCATTCACTCTGAATATAAAATAACAGTTGCTAATAATTTCTATTCATTTTCACAAGTTTTCAATACAATTATGTTGATGTTATATTAGTAGTTAATGGAACACAAATACATGGTTGAACATAAAGACAAGCAAACTATGGTTAATGTACAGGTAATGCAATGTAATTAACAACACTAAACCCGTGAGAACACTACAAGAAAGGTTAAGCCCTAACTACTACGTAATGTCAATATACATGGAATCAACTGACTGGCTGCACACTAAACTCTGTGCAATGCAAGGTGCACTATGAAAAACTACAACCAGTACTTTCTACCATAAAACCAACTACCCATATTTTAAAAGTGAAAAAAGAATCTCCTATTCCACAACAGAGTGCAAGTCTGGTGAATATTCACTGCCTTAGCTGAAGACTCAGTGCATTCACAGTTATCCAGGGAATAGCCTCTCACCATAGCCTTTTCTCCTACCAAATCATTCCTAATACTGATAAATAAATAGATGATCAAAGGGAGGTAACTCTAAATACATAAAAATTACCACAGTATTTAACATTTATATTAATATTAAAACACACATAAGTTTCAATCCACTTTGAATTTACTTTGAATATTACCATGTATACATATTGCTGTTAATTCTTTTTAAAAAATAAGTTCAGACATGACAACAACTATTTACCGACGTGAAGTACAATATTGCACATGATTTTAACATATGTACTAGCCATGTAAACTGGCATGTGACTACCCCCTGGATAACTATAGTGTAACAGTGCAAACACAGAGAAACCTGCGCAAAAATACTCACAGGGTCTGCAGCATTAGGCTTAGCAAACTCAAAGTTGACTGGCAATAGGGCAGGGGAGGGAACTCCGCTTGACCCTGGAGATTCCTGAACAAAGCTAGCAGTCCACTGTATAAACAAGAATTGTCTGTTGTCAAACTGACTACCTTAACTCAACCTCCGTGCAGTTCTCTCTCACAGAGAATTCCTAACTTTTCTCCTATATGATGATGATTATATTAACTGAACATGTACTATACTAATCCTAATTAAACGAAGCTGACAAAATCATCAGCTATCTAAAATGTGGTCAAAACCTCTCACCTATGTGATAAGAACATACAGTGATATAATTGAACAGAAAACTGCTCTTCTTACCAGGCTGAAATCAGTACATTTCAACATAACACAAAAAACAGAGAGCTGATATGATGAATGAGGTTTTACATGAAGTTTAGCAGGCGTTAAGCGGACTGACGTCTATAGAGACCCGTTACCTCAGATCTGTTGCCAGTCACATGACACAATATAGTGGATATACAGAGTTAATTCCCCCTGGTTGTTACGTTAAATAACACACAAATAATATGCAAGGTCTGTCAAGAATTGTTAAAAATAACAAAAATCCACCCTTGTTTACATATTTAACAAAGTGAAGAAGTCATCCATCAACTGTCCTCAATATTTTTCTCGTCAAACATAATTCATAAACAAATACATATTAAATGAATAAAACATTTGTGAACAAAGTAAATATAATTCTTTGGTTCATAGATAGGTTTACTGAACAATATGATTAAAGATTACTTGATAAAACAATACAGAACTGAATTGAGAATTGTGTAGACAGCATAATCTAATATGCTTGATGCCGCTGATCATAAGAAACTTAAAATAGCCACTCAAAAATATTTAACAAATGCATATGAGAGCAAGCCTTGCTTGAGAGACAGAGAACCTAGACAGTTCTACAGAAACAGAGACAGCTGCTGGAATGAGTTTGCTATATGACAGAGCAGTACAAGGTGCCATGACAACAGTTGTCATGGCAACAGATTCCTTCCATCAACTCTCACCTGACTAGCCTGGGGGGAAGGGGGCGTGGTTCGCTTGAGGGTGCTTCCTGGGGGCAGGTCAGCTGCGAATGGTTCGTCTGGGGGAGAAAAGAGGGAAAATATTTGAAACTACTGATCACTGTAGTCAGTAAGACTGGTTCATGTGATATTTCAACTCCATGGCAAAATCTTAGCTCCATTGCATGTAAATGAAAAATTGCAAAGTGAGTGATAATACTGTGATAAAACAGCGTTATAGTTACATCATGGCATGTCAGATCAATGCAGCAAGGAAAGCCCACCAAGACTGATGCAGGTCTGACTTCATGTCTTCATATCACAGTATCACAATCTCACTGTATCCCACAAAACTCCACTGAATTATGCTCTTGAAACCCGTGAAGATCTAGGTTAGAAATAGTCTTCAGCAACCCCTGTTTGTCGCAAGAGGCAACTAACAGGTCAGGTCGAGTGAGTGAGTGAGTGAGTGAGTGAGTGAGTGAGTGAGTGAGTGAGTGAGTGAGTGAGTGAGTGAGTGAGTGAGTGAGTGAGTGAGTGAGTGAGTGAGTGAGTGAGTGAGTGAGTGAGTGAGTATGGTTTTATTCCATCAACATCACGGTGGGTGGACACCAGAAATGGGCTTCATACATTGTACCCATGTGGGGAATCGAACCCGGGTTTTCAGCGTGATGAGCGTACAGTTTAACCATTGGGCTACCCCACCACCACCCCTCATACACATTCATGAAGGAAATAGGGTCTTTGGCGTGATTCAGAGCACGTTAACAACAAGGCACCCATCTCCTCTTGACACTTCTTCAGCAGCATCCCAACTTACCACTTGTAAGTGTAGCATAGGGCATGAGAGAGAGGGGTAGACGTTCCGGCAATTCGATCTCGTTCCTTCGTAACACCACTAGATGCATGGCAATGCAGAACTCCTCCAGAGACAGAGCTCCATCCCGATTCAGATCTGACAGTTGCCTGGCAACAGAAGTTAATGTCTCAGGTGACGTCTAACAAATGACACTGACAATACGTCCAATGTCATATTCTTCAAGAAAGATAAATGCTCATTAAAAGTAGAATTATACGTTATGTTATCGTACCGATGTCATATTTAATGGGAGTAACCTCCCTTACTGTTGCATTATGGGATGTTGAGGTAGTAGCCCATGGTACCAAAGACAAGTGACATTCAACTTTATGAGTCTGAGATCATGTCATGATTATTTTTCTATAAATACAATAAATATTGATGAAACCACCAAACAGATTTCAATTAAATTGCTGTCAAATGATCCAAAACTTTAAACTAAGCATTACTTAATACAATGAGCCAAGAATCAATCAGGAATTCTTTGCCTCTAAGTTAAACAAAACAAGTTCAATATCAGACAGTTTGCTAAATTGATCAAAAATAATACTCACCATATCTTAGAAAGCTCTACTACTGGCAGTTTAGACTTCTCAAAGAAGTCTTTGGCTACCTTTCCTAAAAAAAAAAACATGAGGTTTATTTAAACAGATTCTTTCATTCAAAGGATATTTGTCAATTGATTCTGATTGTCCTACTCCCCAAAGGCAATTCTTGTAACATACCGGTAAGATAGAACAATAAAACAGTGCATTGCTGACTGGACTGCACATTACCCTGACATCAAGGCATGAGGGCAAAGAACTGTCTCCCTTCACCCAACTGGAATCTGACTTCTACAGTAGGAACAAAACTGAATAAGAATGATTCTGAGAGAAAATATGTGCAGGTCCACAGATAGCTTCTTCAAGCATAAAAAACTTTATTGGTTAAAAGTTTCCATGATGAATCTGTCTTTATTATCTTTCTAGAAAGGTGTTTTTATTGATGAATACCAGGTTACCTGTTATAATGGGATATGAGTGAGTGAGATTCAGTGCCCCCTAGGTTAGTAGACTTCCCTTACTGTCATACCTGTTATAACCCCCTAGGTTACCTGTTATAACGCCCCCGAGGTTACCTGTTATAACGCCCCCTAGGTTACCTGTTATAACGCCCCCGAGGTTACCTGTTATAACGCCCCTAGGTTACCTGTTATAACGCCCGAGGTTACCTGTTATAACACCCCCTAGCCTGTTATAACTCGGTTTACCTTTTATAACGCCCTAGGTTACCTGTTATAACGCCCCCTAGGTTACCTGTTATAACGCCCCCGAGGTTACCTGTTATAATGCCCACTAGGTTACCTGTTATAATGCCCACTATGTTACCTGTTATAACACCCACTAGGTTACCTGTTATAACGCCCCCTAGGTTACCTGTTATAACGCCCGAGGGTTACCTGTTATAATGCCCCTAGGTTACCTAGGTTACCTGTTATAACGCCCCCGAGGTTACCTGTTATAACGCCCCCTAGGTCAGGCTGCATGGTCTTGAACTGTTTCATGTAATACTCTCTCTGTTCCTCACTGATGGCCCAGATGTCATCCACACTCTCTGCCTCAGAGCTGATGGAGGACGAGTCAAACCCAGGAGGCTCCAGGTGATCCCACTTCTTGGCACCAGCACCTAGCAACACTGAAACAATAGGCATGGTGAATAGGCAGCTCCTTGCAACACTGAAACAATAGGCATGGTGAATAGGCAGCTCCTTGCAACACTGAAACAATAGGCATGGTGAATAGGCAGCTCCTTGCAACACTGAAACAATAGGCATGGTGAATAGGCAGCTCACAACTGGAAACAATAGCAACACTGAAACAATAGGCATGGTGAATAAGCAGCTCCTAGCAACACTGAAACAATAGGCATGGTGAAGAGGCAGCTCCTAACAACACTGAAACAATAGGCATGGTGAATAAGCAGCTCCTAACAACACTGAAACAATAGGCATGGTGAATAGGCAGCTCCTAACAACACTGAAACAATAGGCATGGTGAAGAGGCAGCTCCTAGCAACACTGAAACAATAGGCATGGTGAATAAGCAGCTCCTAGCAACACTGAAACAATAGGCATGGTGAAGAGGCAGCTCCTAGCAACACTGAAACAATAGGCATGGTGAAGAGGCAGCTCCTAGCAACACTGAAACAATAGATATGGTGAATAGGCAGCACCTAGCAACACTGAAACAATAGACATGGTGAAGAGGCAGCTCCTAGCAACACTGAAACAATAGGCATGGCGAATAGGCAGTTGTAGGAAAAGGCATGAGTATAGCGATACTGACTGACTGATTGACTGAGTTTGGTTTTACGCCGCTTTTAGCAATATTCCAGCAACATCATGGTGGGGGACACCAGAAATGGGCTTCACACATTGTACCCATGTGGGGATTCGAACCCGGGTCTTCGGCGTGACGAGCCAACGCTTTAACCACTAGGCTACCCCACTGCCCTATAGCGATACTGAAACAGTAGGCATGGTGAAAAGGCATCCGAGCCATCCTTTAAATGGTATGCATAGGCAGTCGTAGCAATGCCAGAACATTAGGTGAACAGGCAAGCAATATTGGCCAACAAAAGGGCATGGTGAATCTTCAGTCTCAAGCAACACTATGGTGAATCATTTGTACTCCAACTGTTGAGCAACTGTAATATTACATGAAAATTATATTTCAGCAGAGCATTACGTGGCATCTATTCATTCATCTTATGACTTATGTCTTCATTTGTTGATGCACAAAATGAAGAGAAGAACATCTTACTGTGACTATCCTCGTCTTCAAACAAAGCCCAGTTCCCGTTTTCACTGGTGGAGTTGAGATACGCTCCTCCGGCCAGGGCCACAGGGTTGACATGGCCACCATCCAAACTCGCCATCTTCACATTTACTGGGGGCGCTACTGTGACGGCAGGGAAGGTGGCAGGGAGGGTCTGCTGCTTCAGTAGTTGTCTGCGGACCCCTGGGGGAGAGGCAGGTGGGGACTGTCGGGGGGAGAAGGGAGGGGACTTGGAGTCGTTGGATTCCTCTTTGTTGGTCGTCTGAAACAGTTTAGCTTACAGTTTAGCTTACAGACCACGGGGAAGAGGGGAATAACATCCCTGAGAAGTTTCACTAGGTGAATGCTAATAGCGTTAACAACCTGACTAGTATTACCAAGGATAACCCAACCTGCCAGTGAGGCGCTAAGTTATTAGTCACATGACTTATCCCCCCCCGGGTACCCATTTTCTGCTTGGTGAACAGAGGCAAGTTTAAACAAACTCACATGCCTAAGGGAGACCACATATATGATATGTGTTTCCTTGTGGGGCAGGACTGAAGTAGCAGAAAATCTCAGGAGTCAAGCTGCCAAACACGGTCAGCCATCCAAGGACTTTCCATGCCCAACGTTGCTGAACTTCAACTGATTTGTGACCTGAGCCCTATGCACAGGACCACACACCACTATTTATATATAGATAAAAGTACTCAGTCGACAAAGTTACCATGGTTAGTTACAGATAGTTACATCATACAACAGTCACTGTGTACCCCACACACAACCACCCAATACTCCCTTATCTCATGACAAGTAAAGATGTGCATTTCCTGGGTAAAGAGTATGAGCAGGTAGCTCTTGGCAATAGAACATACTGTGCATTTATTATCAATATCTACTATCTCATAGATCTACTGCAGTCTGTGCCTGTAGTAATATTGACATCTTGCGATCTTTTAATATACCGGGTTAGTGGTAATTCTTTTAAGTGCAATCTGCTTGGAGGTTTTACAATTAAAATGTAATACCTGCCTGCTCCAAGGTTTCACATTTGAATTGCAAAACCTACTTTAAAGTTTACGGATTAAATAGTGAAGTATGAGGAGATGAAAGGGTGTTCACTCTTGACTGTCATGACTTCAGCTGTCTGCATGCTGCACATGGTCTTTGTATGTTTTATACTTCCACACACTGTCTCGTCTCACTACTATGTCTCCCAATGTTTTCATATATACTTTCTTGCATTTTTCATATAGTCCTTTCTTGCATTTTGATGGTTCATTAGTCAATACACTCCTCCTTGGTTTTAGTTGAAAATGTAGAACTCTGTCCCTTCAAGTTTTGCATTGTCCGCCTCAGGGCTTTTCTCCAACACAAGGTTTTACATTTTCAACCCAATTATCGTAGTAGTGTTTCCTCTGTAACTTCAAACCTTTAAGATGTAAACTCAACATTCATTCACTCCTGAGATGGCCAGACCATCAGATGAGCTACGTACCTTAACAAACCCTGGCATCACACATAAATGACCTCTAATAGTAAAATGCAGTAAATGATGCATTATGGTTAATTTCACATATATATCACTGTTGTGATTTATTACACAATAGAAATACTCACTTGTGGCTGTTGTGCATTGAATGGCTGCTGTCCCTCCGTGACGACCCCACGGTACTGCCCGGACAAACTCCGTGTGTGGGACTTCTTTGCTGAAGGGGGTGGAGGAAGCTGGCCCGCCGCGCCACTGACTTTACTGTAACATTGACAACATCACCTTACTGTAACACTGACATCACCTTACTGTAACACTGGCATCACTTTACTGTAACACTGACATCACCTTACTGTAACACTGACATCACCTTACTGTAACACTGACATCACCTTACTGTAACACTGACATCACCTTACTGTAACACTGACATCACCTTACTGTAACACTGACATCACCTTACTGTAACACTGACATCACCTTACTGTAACACTGACATCACCTTACAGTAACACTGACATCACCTTACTGTAACACTGACATACTGTAACACTGACATCACCTTACTGTAACACTGACATCACCTTACTGTAACACTGACATCACCTTACTGTAACACTGACATCACCTTACTGTAACACTGACATCACCTTACTGTAACACTGACATCACCTTACTGTAACACTGACATCACCTTACTGTAACACTGACATCACCTTACTGTAACACTGACATCACCTTACTGTAACACTGACATCACCTTACTGTAACACTGACATCACCTTACTGTAACACTGACATCACCTTACTGTAACACTGACATCACCTTACTGTAACACTGACATCACCTTACTGTAACACTGACATCACCTTACTGTAACACTGACATAATCACATTACTGTAACACTGACATCATCACCTTACTGTAACACTGACATCACCTTACTGTAACACTGACATCACCTTACTGTAACACTGACATCACCTTACTGTAACACTGACATCACCTTACAGTAACACTGACATCACCTTACTGTAACACTGACATCACCTTACAGTAACACTAACATCACCTTACTGTAACACTGACATCACATTAATGTAGCACTGACATCACCTTACTGTAGCACTGACATAAGCTTACTGTAACACTGACATCACCTTACTGTAACACTGACATCACCTTACTGTAACACTGACATCACCTTACTGTTTCATCACAAGTCTAACACTCAAACCTTCCTTGCAGTATTGATCATTGCATGATCAATCACGAACAATTACAAAGTCAAAGTCAATAGAAATCGTAAAATTATGATCTGAATGTTGAAAATTGTCTGTCAAACACTGGATGTTATTGTTGATTAAAATGTTTCTTGGCTAGTGTTGCCCTGACCTCCACTGTGGCTTACCACTCATTATTTTGACCTCCACTGTGGCTTACCACACGTTATTTGGATTTTATTGGAATTTCTAAGTAATAACACCATGCTAAGGACAAAGTGCATCTATATAAGTACAACAAAGGTAAATATATTTCAAGGCATTATCATTTACTGAAGCTCAAAGTCTGTTCAATTCAAGTGGCCAACATTCATGCAATGTATCCCAAGTGTAGTCAAGAAAAGTGAACAAAATACTAATTATCACACGCCAATTGAAACTGGTTACATAGGTAATATATATTGTAATGCTAACTTCAGAATAGTTAATATATGAATAGGTGAATAGAATCTGAAAACAATATTTCTAAAAGTGACCGAACTTTGGTCAAGTTCACCAGAAGCTGAAACAGAAAGATCAGTGTTTGGCAGGAAGTATTTCCACAAGAAAACATTATCCTTTCGCCAAGTAAAAATGTGAGAACACTGAAACCCTCACTCACCCATCTGCAGTGACCGGTCCACCCTCCTGGTCAGAGGCGGCTGAGGGCCATCTTCTCTCACCTGAAACACAACAAACCCGTTAGTTTACTGTACATCACCACAACACACGGACAGAAATATATTTTATCTCAAGTGTACATCAGGACTGACTGACTGAGTTTGGTTTTATGCCGCTTTTAGCAATATTCCAGCAACATCACGGCTGGGGACACCAGAAATGGGCTTCACACATTGTACCCATGTGGGGATTCAAACCCGGGTCTTCAGCGTGACAAGCCAACGCTTTAACCACTAGGCAACCCCATCGCCCCTACATCAGGACAATCCCAGTCATGTGAAATCTCAGTTTGCCAAGAATATTTTTTATCCATCTTGAAACTGATGGTAATTTTGAAAGTTTCCTCTTTCTCTTCCGTTTAGAGTATTATTGATATGGCTTTAAGGGTTTACATTTCTGGACTTAGGTAGCTCAAGGGTTAAACTCAAGTCATAGTCCATTTCCCTGGTATAGCCAGCTTACAATGAGCATTTCAACACATTACTTCCTTCTTGTTTTAAAATAGCAGCCAGCATTATGTCCATGAAATACATCAAGTACCCTTCTGTTACAATTTCATTACTTCCTAGACATGTAGATCTTAGTATCTTTGTCTTATCATACATATTTGCCATTTTGAATTTCAATGGAAACTTGTATATACTGAAACTGTTGAGTATGAAATTGCCTTATTTGTTAAAACATGCAGTTACATACATGATATGAACTTCTCATGTTGGCTAAACACTGCAAATAGCAGACAACTAGAGTAATCTCCCCTGAGCAAGTCCTGAGTCCCCATAATTCTGTTCAATACAATGCATAGTTTGGTATCACAAACAAATCTGCACATGTATCTTCTACTGTAAGACTATGTTTAACCATTCTGATGACAGAAAACAGAACATTGCTTGATATACAGGACACAAAACACCTGTATTACTAATAGAATACATAACACACACATCTATAAGATGTTATTATAACACATGCCTATTTTTTCATCACACAAATCTGACAACACAAAACATTGTACAACATATATCTGCATTTGGCCCTTCATAATAGTTATACTGAAATTAACCTGAATTATGTATTTTCAGAATGTTTTCAAATTGAACATCTATATAAAAACCAAAGTATACATACAGATTCTGTAACTTTATTTCAATTAAATTTTTGACACTTTTGATAAAACACAATCTATGTTATTTCACATTCCTAACTGAAAAGTTATTTGCATAAAATGTTGATTGCCTTAGGTATATTTTCAGACATAATTATGTCAATACATGTCTAGCACTTCATTGATGCTTACTAATGAACAAAACACACTGAACAATAAATACTGATGATAAGAAAGGAAAATGGGATATTACCTTGTTCGTTGACTTTCGTAAACTTTGGCAAAGCTATTTCTACACCTGTGAAAAAAAAAAAATTAATTGATGCAAGTTCAACAAAGATACACATTTTCAATGACATGAACACTGTATGATTCTGCATCAATAGATGTCCACCACAATCATCATCCCAAATTGAAAAATTGAGACAGTTGTTATTATATTAAGCTTCATCAATCAATGTCTACACTCTTCAAGTTCTGTCATCATCGTCATCATGATCGTTGCCGTGGTCATTGTCGTCGTCATCATCATCATCAATTGTTTCACCATTTCAGCATCTAATATCATCATTGATCATCTCCATTGTCATTGTCATCATTGTCATCATCATTGTTGTTGTCGTCATCATCATATGCATCACCATCATCATCAATTGTTTAACCATTTCAGCATCTAATATCATCATTGATCATCTCCATTGTCATTGTCATCATTGTCATCATCATCGTTATCATCATCATCATCATCATCATCATCACCATCACAATCATCCAAGAAGCGTCACCATCATGAAGCCCCATGACCACAGCAGCAGATATCAATCATTTAACCCAGCACTGCTTCAGCAACAGTACCCAGAAGAAGTCTTATTCCGCCCGATTCACTATTTTGGTCTAAATCATTTATCTCCTCATCAGTGGTACTTTGATTCACACAATTAGTTTTCAGCCCAGCAATATCTATAAGCTTCCTGATTTATCCCAATAATATCATCAGCCAACAAAGCGACGTAATAACTGACCCAGAAGCTCCAGCATCACAGTGACCCATGATATTATCAGCAGCATGACACAATGTCCACTAACCCCACACTGCCAACACACACACACACACACACACACACACACACACACACACACACACACAGCAGTACACACAATGTCCACTAACCCCACACTGCCAACACACACACACACACACACACACAGACAGAGCATCACAGTGACCCATGATATTATCAGCAGCATGACACAATGTCCACTAACCCCACACTGCCAAACACACACACACACACACACACACAGAGACAGAGCATCACCGTGACCCATGATATTATCAGCAGTATGACACAATGTCCACTAACCCCACACTGCCAAAACACACACACACACACACACACACCCCATCACCCATGATATTATCAGCAGGACCCATATCCACTATCAGCAGCATGACACAATGTCCACTAACCCCACACTGCACAAACTACACACACACACACACACACACACAGACAGAGCATCACCGTGACCCATGATATTATCAGCAGTATGACACAATGTCCACTAACCCCACACTGCCAACACACACACACACACACACACACACACAGCATCACCGTGACCCATATTATCAGCAGTATGACACAATGTCCACTAACCCCACACTGCCAAACACACACACACACACACACACATCACACACACACACACACACACACTGCCACACACACACACAGCACACACAGAGCATCACCGTGACCCATGATATTATCAGCAGTATGACACAATGTCCACTAACCCCACACTGCCAACACACACACACACACACACACACACACACACACACACAGACAGAGCATCACCGTGACCCATGATATTATCAGCAGCATGACACAATGTCCACTAACCCCACACTGCCAACACACACACACACACACACACAGAGCATCACCCACCCATGATATTATCAGCAGTATGACACAATGTCCACTAACCCCACACTGCCAACACACACAGCAGAAGGCGACAGCCTCACACAAAGGGACACCCACTTGCTCGATTCATAATCTCTTCTCTTACAGCAGACAGTGGAACTTTTTTATCTTAATTAAGCTATCATACAGATGGAGAAACAGTGACACATTTACGCAACCCACAGCCATACCATTGATTCAGTTACCGAGTCGAAATTAACTTCTGCATCTCAAGCAGTCTTGTAATGTGGAAGGATAAGGTTCTCCGTAAGCGTCAGTACAGAGGTATTATAAGGCATTGCTCCTCTGAGTGATCTGGAGCTTCTATCACATTATCACGATATAGATTCAGTCTAGTGCTGAATTTAGTTTGTAAAAAGGGAGCCTTGTCAGTTTGGATTTATATGTTCATAAAACTCTATACAAAGTACATGTGTAATAATGGTTTCATATATACAGACACTGATATAATACAAATATTGATGTTGATTTGGTGTTTTATGATGTCATAATCGTATTATGTATTGATTTAATAAATCTTACGTAAGAATACAGGATTTAAGGTAATGACATAATAGAGGTAAAAAGTCTTAGAAGAATTATCTTAGTTGATTTTATTTTTTACCTCACAGTCAAACAATATTTCAGGCCTAAACAAAAAAAGTGGTTCCGATTACCCGACCAAATCTTTAATTCTAGTGCCGACCCTATTTTTTTTAAGCGGTATGAATAAAATAATCTTTCAGATACCATTGTTTTTTCCTGCTACGGACATCAGGCATTCTGAGAGAGAAAGTCGACATGATGGCCGCAAGCTTGATTGAAAAAAACAATTACACATTGATAAATCTGTTATTAGTTTGTACTTTACTTCTAAAAAAATTGTAAAATAAGTTTAAAAATCCTACCTACCTACCCTAAATTTTAAAGAGGTGAAATCAGAACCACAACATTTTATTTGGCCCCATCTATATCACAGTAACCTGTAAACAAGTCTTGAGAAGAAAATCCAGTGATTGATATTACGAAAAAAAAACAACAGAGGTGTAGGGTGAAACAGTTAACACTGTCGACCAAGTCACTGACTGATTTACTGAGTTACCTCATATGACAAGCACAGGTTGCTGGAGACAAAAACCACAAGATCTGCCACTTTAACCTTTCAGGGATGACTGTCCAACTCAAGACTTAAACGCAGGGCTATGGTTTCTTGTTCAACGAGAGCCTGGCATCTTCACGTTATACATGCATAGGTTTGACTCATCGTGTATGTGAAATAAAGTACATTCAGTCAGACATAATATGAGGTATGTTGTTCCCTCTGACAATAAAGACAAAATTATTCATTTTGTCTCTTGCAAGAGATTTAGTGATTGACATGCTATTATAGAATTCAATCCAACGCTTATGAGAAAATTATACACAACAACCCCTTACCAAAATGTCAAGATGGGAGAATCATTGGAGAGATAGAGGTTCACTATTAATAGCTGATACATGAAACATTATTTAAGGACTAAACATTCACAACCAAATATTCACTTTATTACAGAACAATAAATCAGGAAGGACAGTGAGGGAGTGAGTACGGTTTGCAATCGCTTTTAGCAATATTCCAGCAACATTACGGCGAGGTGATGCCAGAAATGGACTTCACACATTGTACCCATGTGGGAATCGAACCCAGGCCTTTGAAGGTGTGACAAGCGAAGCTTTAACCACTAGGCTACTCCACCGCCCCTGACAGTCAAGAGGTCCTTGTCATAGCCTTGTCAAGGAAAGGACAGGTTTCACAAGATCTTAAGCTTAAATCTCATAACTCTAAAATTACCCAGGACAGACCATGTCTAACATTATATTAAAACATCATTCTTCCTGAAGTTTTTCCTATGTAGTGGGGTGCATCCTAATGCCAAAGCAAGTCATTGATTTCCTGCTTGAGACCTCCCTACACAAAAGGTGTAGATCATCTGGGTATATCCAACCTGCTGCTCTGACTGGATGGAAGTGCCTTGACAAGGAAGTAATGAATAGGATTAATTAATTCCACAACATAAACCAACATGTGCTTCAAAATGTTCAGTAATGTCTCATTTTCTACATCAATATTTCTGTCCCGAGGGTGACGTCATCAGTAGAATAAGAAGCTGTTTCCATGACAATATCTTGTGCAGACATGCAGGAACGGACATCACAAAGTGTTCACTTGAATAATGTGGAACTAGCGCTATATAAATATCCTTATTATCATTCATCTATATTATATAACCTACTAATAAATATTTTCAATTCATCAAAATATTTAACAAAATATATATAAATAAAAGTGGCTATAGTTTTATGCTGCTATTAGCAATCACATGGCAGGGAACTTCAGAAATGGGCTTCACGTATTGTACCCATGTGGGGATCGAACCTGGGTTTCATCATAAAGAGTGAAAGCTTTAACTGTTAAGCCACCCAACTGGCCCTTCACCTGTTAGAGAATTTGGAGAACACCTTGAGTTTTTTTCAAACAATGGTGATTAACCCATCACTTTATTTCATAGAAAATGAACCTGGCAGGTTAATCACTTTCCTTTGGAATCAAACTCAAGTGTAAAGAGCAATGCATCAACACTTTAACCACTAGGCTACCCACAGACAATAAACCTGAAACAATATGATATTGGATACATACAACTGAGTTGTATTATAGTACACATTAAAGAGAGTGAATGAGTGAGAGGTTTTACATCGCTTTTAGCAATATTCCAGCAACATCATGTCGGGGGGACACCAGAAATTGGCTTCACACATTGTACCCATAAGGGAATCCAACCCAGGTCTTCAGCATGATGAGCAGATGCTTTAACCACTAGGCTACCCCATCACCCCTAAACATTAATGAGTAGGTTTTTATGTCATGGGGTGGGAGCTAAATATAAGGAGGAAGTCAGCCAGAAGTGATGGAGGTAATTGACATTTACCATTATTGTGAAACCCATGAGCACAAGGCTTGAAACATTAGCAGCACAAAAACATGATTCAGACATATACTACTTCAAGAACACCCACAACTGAAGGCTGTGTGTTGCAATAACCACCAGCCAAGACAAATTTACCATAGGAAAAAAGAAAATATGTTCTTAATCTTCTTCAGCATGCAGACTGAAAGAGCAAAGAAATCCTCTCAAGACATTTGCTTATGAAGAATTATAGCATATATCATAAATACATTCTATTTACAATATTTTGCTTTCCTTTGGGATCAAACTCAAGTCTGAAGAGCAATTTGGTGTTCTTAATCTTCTTCAGCATGCATACCGATAGAGCAAACAAA